CTCTCTCTCTCTCTCTGACAGCCTGTCAGTATCGTCTCATGCAGCTCACTGATCCAGTAATGAGTGATCCGACAGTGAAGAATAAATATATGTATAACTAGTTTAGCTTGTTCCAGAGGTAGATAAAATAGCTAAGTGTGTTAGGTCTAACTCTTAGTGTGTGTTTTGCTTCGCTCACCGGTCCGTCACAGCGGGTGGAGCTGCAGGATTTCTGCTTCACACACGTTGCATACCGCTATTTTATTGTCATTTTCGGACACCTTAAAATACTGCCAGACTGGTGAAGCCATTTTGGCGAGCTTGTTTTGCCGCGCACAGAGGAAAGTGTCATGTATTTTACGTCATCCTTTTACGTCATGCGATCGGCATTTTTAGAGAGCACCGATCGATCGGTAGAGAGTGAGTATCGGCCGATATCGATCGGTGGCCGATCGATCGGAGCATCTCTAATTATAATGGCTAACACTGTCACTGCTGTTGTTTTTCAGGTACTGAGTTTGAGGGAGCCATCATCGCCCTCTTCCATCTCCTGGCCACCCGCACAGACAAGGTGCGCGCCCTGAGAGAAGCCTTCTACAGACAGAACCTGCCTAACATCTTGAACCTCATCGCCACCGTCTTCGTGTTTGCTGTGGTCATATACTTCCAGGTGAGCTGCCACTAAAAGTCTTACCTGATGTTATTGCACTGAAAAAATTTGGATGGCATTACTGATGGCGCGCTTCTTTACCTCACCAGGGCTTCAGGGTCGACCTGCCCATCAAGTCAGCACGCTACCGTGGTCAGTACAACACCTACCCCATCAAACTGTTCTACACCTCCAACATCCCCATCCTGCAGTCTGCCCTCGTCTCCAATCTCTACGTCATCTCTCAGATGCTCTCAACTCGTTTTAGCGGGAACTTCCTCGTGAACCTCCTAGGAACCTGGTCTGTAAGTATGACAGTGGAGCTGCACCTCCAGCACGTTTATTCAATTAAATTCAACGGTACACTATTATTAGAATTGGTGACACTTCTGTTGTGCGTATAATGCTTGAGACAATAGATATATCCAGTCTTAGTCTATGTTTAACTAGAGGAGATTGAATTACATATTATGCTGCATTTCCACCGCACAGTATATACAGCTTGACTTTTTTGATTTTAAACTAGCAAGAGTTTTGGATAATATCTTGTACTTGCTTTTGGTACCACTACGTCGACAAGGTTCCAAGTAATCTGAGCCGATACTAAAGGGTGAATATAAAACCCTGGAGACCATGGCCCTACACAAATCTACAATTATTAAATAGTAAAGCTACCCTCTTAAGCGGTCGCAATTTTTTGTGGAGTGCAGACATTCCTCTTTTATGGTGAAAGTATTCAACAAGTTTTCAGCTGATGTCATGCAGTTGAACATGGCGTTGTTAAGGTGACCAGCTGAGAATCCCTCTTACACTAAGGGGAACAATCCTTAGTGGGAAACAATACAGAAATAGAACGGGTACCAAAAGTCAGTTTAGCTGAAACCATGTGGTATTTTCATAAATGGGGGAACGGTTGGGTTCTGTCTCTCGTGTTGGACCTGCATCATCTTATTTATAATATCTCATTGTGATTAGGATGCAACGAGTGGTGGACCTGCTCGAGCCTACCCTGTGGCCGGGCTCTGCTACTACCTCTCCCCTCCGGAGTCGTTTGGCTCGGTCCTGGACGACCCGGTTCACGCTGCCATCTACATCGTCTTCATGCTCGGCTCCTGCGCCTTCTTCTCAAAGACCTGGATCGAGGTCTCAGGATCTTCTGCTAAAGATGTAAGTCTTGTGCTTTTACAAAAGCATTGACAACTTTGCTTTGCATCAATCCCGCATGAAATTAACCCTCATGTATCACTCTGTGCGTGTCAGGTGGCGAAGCAGCTGAAGGAGCAGCAGATGGTGATGAGGGGACACAGAGAGACCTCCATGGTGCATGAGCTGAACAGGTACAAAGCATTCTGAGTCTCAGATGTCATGTGTGTTACCTGCAGCATATGGAAAGTTGTCCTTCAGAATATTTTTTGTATTGACGCTGGATTTATTATTCACAGGTACATCCCCACAGCTGCTGCCTTCGGTGGCCTCTGCATAGGAGGGCTGTCCGTCATGGCTGACTTCCTGGGGGCCATTGGTTCGGGGACAGGAATCCTCTTGGCTGTGACCATCATCTACCAGTACTTTGAAATCTTTGTGAAGGAGCAGAGCGAAATGGGCAGCATGGGAGCACTGCTCTTCTAAAAAATACCAACCTTCGGACACACATAAGACACAAAGCATCCACCCGCCCCCCACCATTGTTTTAATTTTGCAATTTTTTGCAATTTCGCACAATCAGTTCATTTTGCAGCTGGAATAGGTTTTTTTTTTTCTCCGCTATCTGTGTTTTCCACCATTACTTTTTTAGCAGTTGAAACCGTTTTCCCAGCAGGCTGCCCAAGTCCCCACTGACTGTCTTAAAAGCTGAAAAATGCCTAAAAGCACATCAGTGTGAGGAGCTGTCTTTGATTTACCCTCGGGCATTGTTCATCGCAGCATGTTCAAGGAACACTAAGACAGGACGACGTGATAGTGCTAATTTTAAGCTGAAAGCACTGCCTGGACCTTTTGGGGGAGTTGAAAGAAAGCCATGTCAGGTTCATCTCAAAGTAGCAATCATGGCTGAGGTTTCTGGGAGCCTATAGTAGGGTTTGAACAGTATAAATAAAATATGCTTGCACTCCTGATGAGGTCTCTGGTAATCTCAGACAAAGCCGTCTATGGTTTTATTTTTTGGATATTTTTAATGATGGACTATGTTTATATTCACTCTGGTCTTATGTAGGGCAAATGTGTTTGTCCTCTGTCTGGGTCCTCAAAGGAAAGTGTGTGTCTGTGTCGTCATGCTCTTTTATTCCCAGACTGTATTGCTGCACAAAATTGCCGACGTGGTCGGGATGAGGGTGGGTTTGATAGGGATGAGAAAGGGTTTCATTTTGGTTTTTACTTTATGTAACAGACATTGTTATTAAAAAAAAAACAAGATTTTTTTCCAACATACTTGAAAATGTGTTTTTATTCCTATTATCCCCTTGTTGTGCTTTGATCCTGCATGTTCTGTGACCACTGGTGACACAACACACACGTTACTGATCTCAAGTTTGTTGCACTGATGTTACCCTCTAGAGATGAGATATTTCTAAGCCATTGTATTGTGATTTATAACCTGGCTGTAGGTTAATTAGGTTGTACCTTGCACTTAACTTCCACCAGAGGTCCCTGTAGGAAGTTGAATATGACCACACTTCAAATAGTTGAGAGTAAAAAATAACTAGAGGGATTTTGCTATTGAACTGTATGTTCTGATGCATCAGTACCTCTTTACATTTTATCCAATGTTTATATCAAATCTTTACTGACAGAGCTTTAATGTTACAATGAAAACTGTAATCAATAAGATGGATGAAAGAAAACGAACCAGAATTGCAGTTATCTATAGACTCTTAGACTCCATTTAGAAATCCTTTGATCTGAAGAAAGAGAATCATAAAATATATGAGGCAGTGCATTGATAACATTTAATTGGGTGATAGTTAAGAATACATAACATTTTAAACATTAAACATTGGGGAGGCTGTGGCTCATTGGGGTGGTGCATTGATCTTCAGGGAAGCTCTGGTTCCAACCAAGACTCTTCACCCCATATTGTTCCTGTGGGGATTGCCCACAGTATTGAGTGTATGTAAGTTGCTTTGGATAAAAGCATCTAACAAGTGACATGTAATGTACATGTTGACCCTAATTCACCTTTGCATCTCATTGTCCCTTACAATAAAAAATAGAATATGTGTAGGGTTAGTTATCACATATATTTTGCCATACAAACTGTTTTGGCAGACACGAATCCCCTCCTGAAGGGTCGAACAGACAATACATCAAGTAAAAAATAAGAATATAATGCATAATACAATTATAAAAAATATATAAAGACATTTAATATGAACTTTATATATTTTGTAAAACGAAATAAATAAAGTGATAAACGTGAGTATTTTTTACAACATTTCATATAAAACGTGAAAAAAATAGCATTAAAAAATGTTTTGCAACAAAAAAAATTAACTGACTTACTTCACATCTTGACACTAAACCCAGTGTTCTTGTTTATTATATTTCTTTGTGCATGCTATTTTTCAGAACATTTGTAAGTTATACTTTACACATTTGGTGGGGATAAAATTGGCCATTTCAGAAACATGTCCCCAGCTCAAATGACGCCTATGTTGTTAACAACAGTTGCCATATAAATCATGACGGTCGAGTGACGTCATAATTGTGCGACCACATGTGACCGAAGGGTCAGAGGGGTAACGGGGCCGTTTGGAAGCCGGGTATCTAGTCAGATGAGACGGTTTCACTTAAGTAATTTCTGCTGTCACACACCGGTCATCTTCTACCACGGAGGGCAACGGACTGAACCAGTGGCAGACATGTCGTACTGCAAACAGGAAGGTAATCTAAATCTCCTTCATTCATGTTCACTCCATGTCCATGGCTTGGCAATGTCACCGAGTTAGCCACCATGCTAGGCTAACTTCTAGAAGAAGCCGGATATTTCAGTAAGTTAGCTAACAGTTACATGGCTGGTAGCGAGGAAGCTGCATGCAATTGAATGAGGCTTATTATTAAGGGTGTTCGCATTGTTGTGATAAAACACATTGGTCATTGTCGTAATCTGATCGGACACCTTTGATAGACGTTAGGTGGAAAGGGCTAGCTCTGAGCCTGGTGGCACGTCCAGGGCTATCAGTTGACAGGTCAGGTTAAACCAGGTTACTGGCACAGTGCCCCCACAGGGGTCACTGTTAACCAGCTTCGTGAACTGGTTTTCTACTTCTACTCGAAATATAAACTAGTAGAGGGCATTTTTAGTTTATTTTTGTACAGTTTATTTATTTATCATACATTTGAACTGACTCTGGTTGCTCTTGCGTAACATAGCAAATGAAGACAATGATATAATCTTGAGATGGGATCATAGCAACGCCAGTAAAGTCGAGGAGGAAATGTCGTCTTCCCCACTCCTTTTCCCCCTTACTTCCGGTGCCCTTGCTCTGTCTGGCCACACCCATTTCCAAACTGAAGGCTACAACATTAATTTGTATTTGAGCTACACACCTGTTAAGTCCTGTGAGTGTGTCTTTCATGGGGTGACAAAATATGTCCAGAGGAGAGATGACAAATGTCACTTTTACCAACAGGTGAAGTCTGTCATTTAATAACGCTTTCTGCAACTTTGTCATATCTCAAAAAACATGTAGGAATCTATAAACCCATGTTTGTTGATGCTGAATTCTTGTCAACCCTCCAAGATTTAACAAGTCAAATAGGCTGCAGTAACTTTAAAGGCAACTCCCTATGAAGATTCCACATTACACCTAGTTTAGCATCTCAACACTGGATAACTGATCCAGAGATCAGACTGGATTTTAAATGGTACTGATGCTTTTTTAGGACTTTTCACATTTACTTGTTATGTTATTGGTTGTTTTTCAGTATAGAGAATACTTATTTTTACTGTTTAAAGGTGGGGTAGGTAAGTTTGAGAAACCGGCTCGAGATACACTTTTTGTTATATTCCATGGAATGCTCTTAACATCCCGATAGCAATGAATATCTTAAGTGCTTTGACAAAAAATCCATAAAAAAATGTCATCTGTTGAAGCCGTAAAACTGTAAAAAGCACGACCAATCATTTTAGCCGGCCCGGCTAAAATAACTGGATGGCCTACCTGCCTGTCAGCCTTCCATCTGTGCAGATTTTTTCCGGTTGTGTATTTTCAAATCCTAGCGCACTCGAGCTGGTTTCTCCAAAATTACCTACCCCACCTTTAAGTTATTGATACCTTGCTTGTCATTAATACTGTATCAGTTATGTTTTATATTATCTGCCATTTTATACATCTTTGTAAAACACATTGTTACTTGGTTTTTAAGTGCTATATGACAAATCCATGATTTTGTTATTTGTTTTGTTATTAAAGGTAAGGATCGCATCATCTTTGTGACCAAGGAGGACCATGAGGCACCCAGCAACGCTGAGCTCATTGCAGATGACCCCGATGATCCTTATGAGGAACAGGGTTAGTCATTGTGGAAAAACAGGATCAGACTTCCAAACATTACCTCATACAAGTATTCTTTTAACTTACTTCCTTCTGCTTTCCTTTCCTTAAGGTCTGATTTTGGCTAATGGAGACATCAACTGGAACTTGCCCGTGCCTTGGCGGCATGGCCAGTGGACCGTGCGGCTCTCAGTTTAAAGAGGCCTTTTCCTGCTTCCATTACAGTAAGGAGGAGCTGAAGGGCTCCGACTGCATCGACAACTTCCGCGGTATGCAAGAGTGCATGCAGAAGTACCCCGAGCTCTACCCTCAAGAGGAAGATAAAGAAAGCTCCTCCGAAGCAGAGTCCAACTCTGGTTCTGGTTCTGCTGCCCCGACTGAGGGCTCCGCCTCGCCCCCTGAAACTGACTCTCTCCCTGCTGCTGCTGCTGCTGATGCTACCACCTGCTGATGATGCTACACCTGCTGCTGATGCCTCACCTGACAGCGCATCGCTCACAGAACCCCGAGTGCCCAGCTAAGGTCCACCAGTGCTCATCCAGACTTCTCTGTGTCCAATCACTGCCCGGCAGACTGACTCTCCAGGAGGAGCTCTGATTGGCCTCTTCACCTGATTAAGCCCACAGACAGAGAGGACTTACTGACATAGCTCTGATTCTAATGGGCCATATTTACAGGCAATCAGTGAAGGACTTTGTGAATGCAGATGAACATAGCGTATGTACAAAGTATAGGCTGCTTTGGTTTCACTGGCACTCAAAGATCATTGAAGAATATGATTTAATGACAGCGGGCTGAACTGCAGGCACATCAGTGAAAGAGTCCCTTTATAGGCAATTGGGATTTAATTTCTTGTGTGTTATCGTGTCAATCAAAAAAGCTTGTTTGTTGGCATCCATTATGTGTGTTGTCCTGTTAATGTTGACAGCCCAGAAATATACAGCCACGGCTTCGATTCATTATGCAATTTGATAGTAATCCAAGCAGGAATCACTTAATCTTTTGATTGAGCTTCTTTTCTTGTTTGTGTTACTGCAGTTTACATTTATTTCCCTTCCTTTATCTCTTACTAAAAAGACAGAATGCCCTTTAATTGGTAAAAAAAAACAAGGCTTCTGTTTGGTAAAATGAAGAGAGGTTTTAGCTGCGTTTGTTGACATCTTGTAAGAACTTCAGGGTTTCCATGCTACATTAATTGGCATATGGAAAGTTGTTGTCATCTTCATAATTGATACTGTATCTGGCCAAGACCAAAGTGGTTTGTTACATTTTACTGTCGGTGCATAAATGTTTTTTGTTGTCTGAACACTGTCTGGACTCTGCTCTGATCACCATTCAGTGACCTTCCTCCTCTAAAATACTTGATCTGTGTTTCTCAAACATGTCCAGATTAAAATGATTTGTGGAAAAATCAGATGTTCCTGTTTTCGTATGAAGACAAAGCCTTCTTAAAGGTGGGTAGGTAAGTTTGAGAAACCGGCTCGAGATCGCTAGAATAAAATACACAACCGGAGAGAAAATCTGCCACTTCCTTACAGAGCCCCTCCTCCAACACACACGAACGCGCACATGACCAATGAGGGCACGAGATAAGTTTGTGCACAGATGGAAGGCTGACAGGCAGGTAGGCCATCCAGTTATTTTAGCTGGGCCGGCTAAAATGATTGGTCGTACTTTTTACAGTACTACGGCTTCCACAGATGACATTTTTTTATTGATTTTTTTGTCAAAGCACTTAAGATATTCATTGCTATCGGGATGTTAAGAGCATTCCATGGAATATAACAAAAAGTGTATCTTGAGCCGTTTTCTCAAACTTACCTACCCCACCTTTAATGTCAGTCAGTTTTAAATGTTCACATCTTGAAAATGTATAAATGTTTTTAACTAATATGTACAAGTAAGCCGTGTATTATGACAGAACCGACCATCATATTAACAGCCTAATACTAGCTTGCATTTCTGGAATATCAGTAATGTTATAGTTTCATAGTATTTTATTATCAAAATCATATAGGCTTCAACATGTGTATAAATAAACTTTGAGAAACCCAGTTGGACATCATTACCTTGCTCTTTGCTGAAAAGAAAGTGGTGATAAAATACTGACTTGTTAAAACTCAGATCTTAATAAATCCAGGAACTCACTTCAGTCTTTATTTTGTGTTGCACACACACACATTGTGAGTACCACACAGTCATGAGTTTGACTCCTCTGAATGAGGGCAGCATGTCGTCAGTGATTTTCAGTCCCCTTTCTGAATTGTCCACTGACTCAAATGTCCTTGCCAAATCTTCTGCAGTCTGTCCTGCCTGTGTAGATCTATATTCATGTACATCCGTTCCTCAGGCCCTCTGATACCAGTAGGCCGAGCCGCGGTGTCCACGGGACGACCACGCTCTGCATGGTGACCAGCAGACGGCCTGTTCCTGCCTCCTCGGGCCCGCCAGCAAATACTCCATACCTGGTGAGAGAGGTAAGACATTATTGACCTGGTCTAGTAACACATCTATATTCCTCTGTTACATTTTAAAATGTGTCCAGAAAGCGGAACGTTACTGTGTCTCGTGTACTTGTTCACAAGTACCTTTTCTTTGCCATGTTTTCAACTGGTTCTTCCATTTATAGATATTGACCTATGCGTCTAAAATTAAAAATAAGATCAAGATAAATACATATTAAGATTCAAATTCAAAGGCTTAATTGTCACAAACACAATAGCTAGAGTGTAGTTTTGGCAGTAAAAAGACCCATATTAGGTCCCAGGCTCCTCCTACAATGCAACATACAATATTCTTAAGACATAAAAAGAAAAGAAAAATAGTGCAAGAAGAAATGGAAATAAAAAAAGTACAAGGAACACAATGGTATAAGTAACTATGTAAAATAAATTCTGCATATTGTAATAATATATAAATAAGTATCTAGACTAAGTACATTTACATTTGAACTGAATTATAATCATTTTACCCTGGGTTTAGAATGGGACAGGTGCAGCCGCGGCTGGTCCAGGACAGAGGGTAGATGCTGATGGTCCCTAAGCTCAGCGCCACCTGGCCTGATCGAAGGACCTTGCGAACTTTGACCTGCACTTCTGCGTGGCTGCCTTTGTCGTGAGCGGACAGCACACTGGCCTTGATCACTGTCAGGGTCACACAGGAAGAGAGAATACTGAGGGAGGCATTATGAAGCAAGTATAGATCACAATTCATGAAACGGTTATTAAACGAGTGATAATAATTACACATCCTTTCTTACCATAATCATGTTTGGTCTTACAGAGGTCCAACGCACTCCTCAGCTTTTTCTCCTTACAGCTGCACTTTCCTGCATACAGACATGAGTTATTCCTGATCCACTCTTACCTCCAAGATTACCCTCAATACATCACTATGATTCCACAGTTTAAAGCCATGCAATGCAGATGAACATCAGACTCACCTGTGTAATGCAGAGCAGAGACGGCGAGCTCCTTCGACCACTGAACCTCTTCTTCTAATGTGAACATGTGATCCAGGTCAGGGATCTTTCCACCAATGGGCACGTTGAACACCTGGTTATTTGAGTAGCTGCAATGGTGGAATTGAACCCATCAGGTGATTGTTACTATAATGTCTTTATCAAACAAGGCCATGCATAAAAAAATCATTAATATCAAAGGGAGAACATATGCTATATGCCAAATAGCAAAATACAAATATTTCGAATATACATACTAGCACATTTATCAAAACAGCTATATCTTCAGAATTCATTTAAACTAACCTATCAAATTACAGTATAATTATTGTTGGAAAGACTGGTTGCTCAATATCATTTTTTTGCACATTTGGAAAAAGTGTGAACGTCTGAGCAGGTTTAAGCTCAACTGGAAGTATAAATGAGCAATAACCACAGTGATTAAGTTTTAGCTTCTGCCTTGACGTGTGAATGATTACGTCGTGGATAGATTATATGGCTAACCTGTCCAGACACTGCCCTGTGATTGGATCACAGCTGTGAGGGCAGGCGCAGGGTCTACAGCCCTCCTCTCCAAACCCCCAGTGTCCGGGCTGGCAGTGGCTGCAGCTCGCGCCCCAGACCCCGGGTCTGCAGGGGCACTGCCCGCTCCTCGGGTGGCACCAGGGTCCCTCTTCCCCCGGACGAGTGGACAAAGACCCCCGAGGATCACACCAGCAGCCTGAGAAACACACACAGTTAAGTATGATGCTCCTACATTTATTTTTTACTCTTCTATTATTGTCAAATTATGGATTTAGAAAAGTGCCAGCAGATGGAGCTATAAGACGTCTTACTTTGAACAAACACCACCAGTACATTTACTCAAGTGCTATACTCAAGTACACATTTGAGGTACTTGTACTTTACCTGAGTATTTTCATTTTATACTACTTTATACTTCTTTTCTACTAGATTCTGGGAGCCAATATTGTACTTTTTATTCCAATATATTTAATTTACAGATTTATTTACTAGGTACTTTATAAATTCAGATTTTGACAAACAATACTTGAAAAAAACCGTTTAAAATAGGATTATTTGGTATAGATTAAACCATCCAAAATGTTATGCAGAGCAACTAAAACCACAAGTGCGACAACAGAAAATGAATCGCAGTTCCAGCTTTTTAAATGTGAAGATTACTCTGAATACTTTAAGTACATTTTCCTTATTGTACGTAAATACTTTTACTTAGGTACCTTTCTCAATGCAGTACTTCTAATTTTTACTTCAAAGCAAAAAATTGAAGAAGGGCAACAAATTGTACTATTATAAAAGCTATTTTAGAAACTATTTTAAAACAATTGTAATAAATTAAAAATAAAGACAAAATGTACACAAAATATAAATATGTGAAAAACTAAGTACAGTAAAGTATAATAAAATATGACAAGTAGTTGGTTGAAAGTGGAGAGCTATGCAGATTTAAACAAGAGGTAGTGCGGAGCAGAAATGTGCAACTCTAAGATCAACTCAGTGATGAGGGTCTTACGTGTGCAGGCGTGGGGGGAGTTGAGGGGCAGCTCAACTGGAAGTATAAATGAGCAATAACCACAGTGATTAAGTTTTAGCTTCTGCCTTGACGTGTGAATGATTACGTCGTGGATAGATTATATGGCTAACCTGTCCAGACACTGCCCTGTGATTGGATCACAGCTGTGAGGGCAGGCGCAGGGTCTACAGCCCTCCTCTCCAAACCCCCAGTGTCCGGGCTGGCAGTGGCTGCAGCTCGCGCCCCAGACCCCGGGTCTGCAGGGGCACTGCCCGCTCCTCGGGTGGCACCAGGGTCCCTCTTCCCCCTGACGAGTGGACAAAGACCCCCGAGGATCACACCAGCAGCCTGAGAAACACACACAGTTAAGTGGGTGGCGGTGGTAACCATGGCGACATCGCTGGCACCTGCGCCCCACAGTGTTGTGCCTGCAGTCGTCACAAACGCCCCCACTGGTGCCCCCAGAGGAGAGCCAGGCCCTCGGAGAGAAGTGGCAGCGCTCTGCGTGAGCGTGGCACTGGCACTCTGAAGGCGTGAGAGAGAGACAAAGTGATGGGGAGGGAGGAGGGGGAGAGACAACAGGGAACACGGGGTACAGGCACATTATGGGTTAGGTTTTTGGGTAACATTTTTAATGAGGCCAATGTCTATAATTATGGTTTTATTGTATGGTAGCAGGGAATGCGTCAAAAACTGTATACTCATAGTCTACTATAATCTGCTTTTAGCCTGTCATTATTAAAGTAAGAAGTACTTGGAAAATATTCATGTTTAATTTCGAAGCATTTTATTACGATTTATAAAGTCCAGTATCATAACACTTCATAATTAATAGTCACATTTTGACATTTTTGTTTTAATTATGTTTTTTTTTCTTTTTATTTAAAGCACAAAATTACAATTTGAAGTGATTTAAAGGCAGCTTGTGATTTGATTATATCTGCCTTTAACTTGGTTGATGTATTTTAAACAGATGTTTGCTATTATAATGTATTAGGAAATCATAATACACTATGATCCTTTGTCAGTGAGTGACCTTGATCCTATAAGTGCTATAAAGTGCTTATAAATAAGTGCTACAAGCGGATACAAAATGCATTATAAGTATATTAGATTTAGTATGTTCGGATTTGCTTGAGTCTATAAAGCCTATTTGTATACCATGTTCAAAACACTGTTGTCAAAATGATGTTCTCACATTGACAAAACTTAAGTATTTAAAACCCTGCTAGATGGACGCTTGATAAAAACTATGTATAGTTCCTGTTACAGCCCACTTTTGAAGCTCTTCTCTGGTTTTTCTCAGCAGCATGGTTAGCGTGCAGCGTGTTGGTGGTCACTCACTCTGGCACGGGTTGGACTCCCCGCTGCTGCTGTTGGCCGGCCTCCAGGGACGATCATTGTAGAGCGGGGCGCACTTCTCACAGTGATCCCCCGCTGTGTGGTGAGCACACATGCACCTACCGGACACCTGGAAAACACATCCGGGGTTGCTTAGTTACTTCACCTACACCTGCCGTCTGGAGAGAGCTATAAAATAGATCCAGGCAGGTGGTGTAGAGAGTAAATCAAACAATTGAAATCTCTTTAACTGGCCATTCTTACATCAGTAAGTGCTTTTCACATCTTGACTTAACTTCCTGATGTGTGTTTTACTACATTGTAATAGAACACAGGCCAGTGCAGTAACTGACAGACTCACTTTCTCGAATTGTATTACCAACTGTTGTTATTTTACTTTGAAACACAGGAAAAGCCACTCACCATGTTACTGTCCTGCCTTGTGTCTTCGCTGCTGTTGTATGCTACACAATTCTCAGCGTGTCCGTGGCACAGGCAGGTCCCTCTGGCCAATAGAGTATAAATAGCGTAAGGTGCTGCGCTTTCTGTGGAGGATGTGGAAGTGAGAGCTGAGTCTGTGGGGCTTGTCCAGGCTGCCGGAGGATGTAGAGGTCCCGGGCAGCTCTGAGCTTTCAGCAGTCTGATGCGGAGGTTAGTGAGGGTCAGGCGGGCGAGGGCCTCCGGACTGTAAGGGTCCAGAGTTTTAGCACTGAAGGGGTCAAGTGTCCGCAATATTACCTGCCGAGGAGAATAACAGAGCACCAATTGGAGCTGAATCAAACCCTGAGGAACTCCCTAAAGATTATACATTACAGCTTTGCAGTAGTGGAAAGTAACTAAGTACTGTATTAACAATATTATGTTACTATTTGTTTACTTGGCTATTCCCATTTGCTGGTACTTGTACTCCATAACAGTTCAGAAGGAAATATTCTGTTCACATTTATTTGATAACTTTAGTTTTAACTTTGCTGATTACAACTAAAAATACAAAATCAACTACAAAATAATGTACTTTATTTAGTATTATTATATGTTAAGAGTCTATTATTCCCAGAGTGCACATTCACATGCTACCCAGTAGTGTATAAAGTAGTGCAAATAAGCCCCACCTTTAGCAGCTGCAACATTGTAGTGATAAACACGTTAATGCACCATTATACAATAATATAATACAAATATTTCTTATTTCTTATGCCATTTCTGCACTTTAAGTATATTCTGATGCTAATACTTTCCTACTTTTACATAAGTAAGATTTCATACAGTTCTCTTAGTGCTCCTACTGTGGTATAGCTCGTTTTAAAGTAAAAGTGCTTCTTTCACCACTAAATCTTGGCATAAACTCTCTTACCTCCCCCCCACTGCAGGGTGTAGGACTGGTATAACGGGATGTGCACAAAGAGCCTGGCTGAGTGAAGTCATCAGGCAAACCAAACTCCTCGCTGCAGTTGTGCGCAAAGAGCTTCAGAGTTTCCCAGGTCTTTCCAAAGTCAGCTGAGCGGTCGATGGCCATGGCAGCAGGCCGCGGGGACCGGAACACCAAAACCATGTGGGACATGCAGAAGTGGCTCTCCAAGTCCAACCGGATCTCATCCTGCTGCTCCTGCTCGGTGGGGCCTGCACCTGATGCCCACCACGTGTCTGGATGCAGGAAAGGGTCATCAGTCATGTGAGCAGGTGGATGGGTGTCATTGGGGCAAAGGGCGTGGTGGGTCACTGTTGGATAAGGGCAAGGGCTACGGTGGAAGGAGCTGTTTCCACAGCAGCTGGAGTGGGTGAGGAGGGTCCTGCCACTAGCCAGGTTCCCAATGGGCGGACTGCAGGCATGGTCCACACATCTGGAGACTGACACAGAGGGTGATGGAGGGAGGGTGATGGAGGGTCAGTGATATCATATCACTGATATGATAGTTATATAATACAAGTATTCAGGTGCTTTAACAAGATATCTGGTGGCACAAAACATTCAAAACAAGCACTTTCCATCGCTGACATCATGGACAAAACCAAGGTCCTCCTCTTTGTGTTTGCCATGAATTTTTTAGTTATGCTTTCTCTGATGTGACACAGAATCCTGCCCTTTCCCCATTGGACAGCATGCTCAGGTTACATGTAAAGGCAAGAAAGACACAAGCAGCCCCAGATCAAATGTATCAACAAGTAGGGCTTTAACATTTAGGTCTTAAAAATGTCACAACTAATAACCATGCAGAAATAATGTCATTCAATACATATGTTACTCAGCTGAGTCACCCACAATTGTCTTCCCAATCAATAACATAGCCTAAACACAACAGGGGCAAACAAGAAGGCAAGTTCAGCCAGAATGACGCAGGAGATTAAGAGAAAAAGAGCATGATGTTGATGGTGATGATGGTGGTGCACCTCACCTGCTCCGCTCCTCGTCAGAATCAAAAACAGCCAACAGAGCGCCAGCAGCATCCGATGCCGACCTTTCCCCAACATACTAAACTCTCTCATCTTTGTTTCTGCTGTGTTTGCAACATAAACGGTGCGATAAACGCTTTCCAGCAGAGATTTGTCCCAACATTATGTGCAGCTTATCTAACGCACCAGCGCATTTCTCTGGCAATTACGCAATGCGCAAAGCATTCAGATGAGTCCTTTTTCCCCCTCCAATTTACCCTCAGGAACAAAATCCTTGATAAAGTTCAAAGCATCCTCAGGAACAACAGCTATGCCATCTCTCTGACGGGAGTGGATTGCGCGCCCCCGTCGCAGCAACAACGTCTCATTGGTTAGTCCAGGAATGAACGGAATGTTACTGATTCCAATTCGATAGATGTTTGTCTTGATCCAATTTGCGCAAAAAATGTTGTCTTTGTGTTATGAAAAGCGATTATTATTATTTTTTACGCCGATTAATTAATGTAAATGTTTTAATTATCACAGCCAATCTGAAAGCTCAGTGTCCCAGGTTCTCTACGCGTTTACGCACAGAAGTGGAGTGTGCACTCTATTTATCCACTGTCCCTCCCCGCCCACACACTCATGCACGCACACACTGTGAGTAGGCCTACGCTGTGCTGCAACAACACTAAACCCTTGATGGAGTTGATGTATTTTTTTCTACTCTGGACGAGTGTATCATTGGGATTTAGCAAAAAAAACAAAAAAACGTGCGCATGGGGAGGACAGACTTGCGACTCGCACGGATTCGTCAACGCAGTTAATGTGAACCAGCCGCACAGCGCATACCATCTAAACCAGGTCCCTCCACTATAACCAGATATATATATATATATATATATATATATATATATATATATATATATATATATATATATATATACTTGATATTGGCTCTCCATCGGCCACCCACATACACAAACTGGAAATCCAGCACACACACTGGTTTTCTACCACAAAAAAACACACACGTGTTACAGATTGCACTCACGACTTTCTTATTCTTCCAGCTCATATTCGCACACCCACTGAGATAAAGCGTAGTGACATCTTACATAACAATTTATTTTTACTGTCAAAAAGAACTTGGGTTCAAAGAGAGTGTAGATTGGCACAAACTAGCTAAAAAAAAGGTGACTAGCATTAAGGATGCTGGGGGGTCAGAGGTCGGCAAAAAAAGGCTACTATAACTCACTTGGAGTTGAACATCAGTTAAATAAAGGGAGCTACAAACATAATGTGTATGTCACATAAAGAGACACAAACAGCCTAACTGCACATCACTGATGTTCTCCCACTACATTGAATATTTGGACTTTGGTTCCCCTCCTAAAAGACACACTGACAAATGTAGCAAATGAGAAGAAAAATCAAACGCAGCTGTTTGAGGTCCCGGGCCACGGGTTGTGGGGTTCCAGTCTGTCTCTCATGTCTGGCCACTTTGCTTCTTTTGAGGCCCTTTCTCAGCTCATTAAACAAGGCTTTATTGGCATGCCAAGAGTCCACCTGTGAGTCATCCAAGCCATGACGGCAACTTCAATGTATGGCCAAGCACAGGGGTCACCGTTAAACAACAGTACTGCAAAGTCAAAAGCCAAATCTGCACGGAGGCAGCCTCATTTTGCTGTAAAACGCACTGCCACAAAACGCTGTGATGTTAACGTGACACTTGCTACCCTCATGGTGGTTCTGTTTCATCTGTGAACTGATGCCAGTGACATTCATTGACCACATTGGTGTTGTCACTCATATCGGTTGCTCTTTAAAAGAGAAAGGGCTTGGAAAATGCTGGCTATTAGGTTGTAAGATTCTTACTTGATATGTGTCCAGGAGTTCTTAGCCCCATATCGCCAAAGTGTAAGTAAGAAAGAAGACTTTAAAGCTCCGTGGCAAATGGTCCCGACATGTTTTTCACACTTTATTTTTATAAAACCAAAGAAAATTCCAGTTTATTCTCAAGAAAGCTTAACAGGGCTTTACTGGAAAACCACAGCATGCCGTTGTATGGTTCCATTCCTCTGTGCAAAAGCAAAAATAAAATCACACTGCAACTTAAGGGTGTTGCCAGCATTTGTGGTCGGATTGTGGGTTTCTGCAGGAGGTATATGGGAATATGTGCAACTGCTAAACCCTCCTGGCCTGCCCAACAATGTGCCAGTGTTTGATCCCGTCAGCCAACATCTGGCCTTCAGGAGAAGCTAAAGTTAGCGGCACATGCTGATGTCATTAGCGTAAAATGGGAGGTATATTCACAGAGCCATGACCCTCACACAGCATCCCAACACTGTGGAGAAAGAGCGGTGGATGATTAATATGATATTAGGATAAGGACAAGAGAGGATGGATTATACATCTGGGCGATTATGTAAGTGATTAATAGATAGATAGATAGATAGATCGTACTTTATTGATCCCAAATTGGGAAATTGTTTTTGTTACAGCAGCATAAAAGGCATTTTACAATAAAACAAAATATACAAGAATAGAAATAAAATAAAATAAAATATAAAATAAAATATAAAATATACATGTCAAAATACAAAATAGAAAATATACATACAGATATTATATATATATATATATATATATATACAAATATACAAATATATATATATTCAAAATATATGGAATTATGGAGTATTAAATATGAAACAGATTATGTGTGAGTAAAATGTACAAGGTGGTTTTATTTCTAGAGAAACTATGGAGCAGAGAGTTCTCTTCCAGCCAGAGGTGATTTGTTGTACAGTGTTATTGCAGTGGGCAGGAATGTTTTCCAGTATCTGTCCTTGTGACAGGGGAGCTGCAGCAGTCTGTTGGAGAAGGAGCTCCGTTGACTGTCCAGCTGCAGGTGGAGAGGATGGGTGGGGTTATCCATGATGGACAACAGCCTGTTCAGTGTCCTCCTCTCCACCACAGCTTCAAAGGGTTCCAGCTTGATGCCGATGACTGACCCAGCTTTCCTGATCAGTTTATTGATCCTGCAGGTGTCACCGGCTCTGATGCTGCCCCCCCAGCAGACCGCAGCAAAGAAGAGTGCACTAGCCACCACAGACTGATAGAAGATCTCCAGCATCTTACTGCATACGTTGAAGGATCTCAGCTTCCTCAGAAAATAGAGTCTGCTCATCCCCTTCTTGTACACAGCGTCAGTGTTGATCCTCCAGTTCAGCCCATTGTCTAAGTGCACTCCCAGGTACTTGTAGACCTCCAAATCGTAATATTGATGTACTTCCACGGTTGATGGTGAGCCAGATCTTTCATGTCAGCGTATATCTGCTGCTGAACGAGAAATGAGGAAAAAGACAAGTACAGGGTGGATCAAAGCTGTAACGATGCTGTAACGATGCTTGTTAGGATTTAATCAGTTCCACTCAACCAGAGCGTCTGGCCACATCTGTCCAATCAAGACCTGTCACCATGGTGGGCTCCTGGCTCCAGAGATACATACAGTACTGCCAACCAAATATTGGTAGGCGACCATGTTTTGAGAACCCCCACATCATCAGAGACTTGTGGTTATCGTGAGGTTTTCTTTGGATCCTCTGTGGCCCGGATCTCCTCATTGGTTTAATCGATACCATTAGACATGTGTCAATGATTAATAAATTGCTGCGGTAAGGATGCTGAGGTCACTCAGATATGATAATGTCTTTATTAGATGTGGGTTATTTAGGCCCTTGGGGAAATCTTTCATTTGGTTTAGGCTTCCTCATTGGGTGAGGTCATTGCTTTGAGGCTTAGCTACATTGAGAAGGAGCTAATTTAGTGGCAAGCCTCTCAACAGGCCCATCCAGAGTAATGGCTGATGCACCTAATTGCGGTCTCCATAGCATCCATATTAAGTCACTTTGTTGGACAATTTGGCTCCACTGAAAACATTTTGTTTTGACCTTCTCACGGAGCTCAGTACAGTGATGTAGGTCACCTCTGACCCTCTTTGTCCTCATGATCCCCGCTACACTATGCCTCTTCAGTGACTCTGTGGTCCCCTTTCGACCTTAATTTATCCGTATCTGCGTGGCACCATGTCCTTCGCAAGTGACACGTGAGGGTTCAGGCACATGAGACTATTCATTTGTGCTTGGCTACCCAATCTCAGGCTGCTCTGATGGGTTTCAAAGGAAGAGGCCAGGGGCAGGAACAGGGGCCGCAGTGCATGATGCCTGTGATCTGCCATGGGAAACAGACGAGGTTATGATGCCCTTGTGACCCAGGAGTGTGGGGATCGCACGGGTCAACAGGGTTTCCCCCCCTTGTGGACACATTCAAGCTGTCATGAGTGTGAAAGGAAAAGATTGGAAATATGTGCAAGTGTGCATTCCAATCAAATTCCATTAGCTTATCATTACTGCCATTACCGTCACTATCTTCACCAGGAAACAGCATGGGATGTGAGTGTTCTTGTGCTAACATGTGGAGAACAGTGTCATGGGACATTTTTTTGTGGTGGTTATTTCACAAAGTCCCAAACTGTCTAATATGTAAATGTTTGAAAATGTATGTATATTTTATCTTTGTTTTAGAATATAACATACCTAATATAGCACAATTCCTACTCTTGTCAGTGGTGGAATAATTATTCAGATTATTAACTTGAGTAAAAGTACCAATACATCAATGTATGTGTATGTAAATACTCCATTTCAAGTAAAAGTCCTGAATAAACAAATCGTACTTAAGTATGTATTATCAGCTAAATGTACTTAGTGTATTAAAAGTATAACTTTTTTGTCTCTGTCAAAGTTGACGGAGCGACACGTCTCCATGACAACCGTTGCCGGGTCCAACAGTTCCGTACCACTTGGATACTGAGATTTCTAAAGTTTTATAGCGTTTAAGCAATGCAGAGGAGAATGAAACGGAGTTTAAGAACTTGCAGTAACATTTAAACCAAGGTATGTATACTTCCTGCTGTTTGTATTAATATGTTTGCGAATGTAAACGTTACTTTTTAGCTTCATGAAACCTAGTCAGACAAGTTTGTTTCCCGGAGAAAACACTCACGAGAAACACCGGCTGTTGTTATGCTTGCTGTGACGTTAAGTTACTCCGTTCCCCGCTTGTAAATATGCCGTTACAAGCTTCATAGTTGTATTTATCATCTAAATTTGCCGAAACAAGTTTCATATTCTGAAAGCCAAGACTTTGTTTATTTAAAATCAAACAAAACACCCGAACCCCGAAAAAATAGTTTTTTCCGCAAATCCACGTTTATTTTGAAATGAGCCGTTGCGACATCCGACTGATTTCGATAGAGCGGGTCACATATCGTTAGCCAGTAGTTTAAAGTAACTAAGTAACTAAGTACATTTACTCAAGTTAAGTACCATTTTGAGAGACTTGTGCTTTACTTGAGTATTTCAATTTGTTGCTACGTTGTACTTCTACACCACTTCAATTCAGAGGTAAATAGTGTACTTTAACTCCACTACATTTATTTAATATCTTTAGTTACTTTGCAGATTTGGATTAATGATATGAAATATAAACAACACTTAAATAACACTTCAGTTACACCTGGAGTAAATTCACAAGCTACCCTGCAGCATACAGAGAGACGTTACAATTTGCTGCACCTTTACCAGCTTTGATAAACACATTAATGCATCAATTATCATTATAAAACATGTTGTTTATATTATTCTGAAATGGGCCAATCTGCATAATGAGTATTGAATTGCATTTTGATGCATATACTTTCGTACTAGTTGAGTAACATTTTGATTTAGTCTGGTACTTCTACTATTACTTAAGTACAAGATCTAAGTACTTCCTCCACCTCTGTCGTTTACTCCTGGGGCCGAAACTAACATTATTAAACATTATAGTTTTCATTTACATTTTGAATGAACGTGTTTAGACAATAGTCTAACTCTTTGCAGTCCAGTTTTTTTTGGGGGGGAAGCATACAGGATTGAATCCAAGCTTTATGTTTACCCATTAATTATTTTTTTCTTCTTGAAGATGGAAAGGAAATATTTCCCAGATTTCGGTGTCTTGGTGCCTCATCCACCCAGCAAACCTCCAGAGCCCAAGCCTCCAGCTCTAAGTCACAGGCACAGACCCGCTCCAGTCAGAACATGCGCTGTGAATGAACAGATGGGGATCTACTCAGATATTATAACTAAACACAAGTTCCAGGTAAAAGCACATAAACTGCTCATTCATTTCACTCTTCAAATTCTGACAGACATTTCAATAACAAGCCCATGCAAATCACTGATCTTCTGTTTATTGATTAGTCTTTAACAGCGGGACCAGGCATCATGCAGAGGTCACTGGGACGATCCATCGTTCGGTATTGTGATCCCAACACTACAAAGGGTGAGATATACATGACGGCAACTATGTATTTATATTTTACTTTTTGTGTAACTATATATTTATATTTTACTTTTTTAAATACAACATTTTACCCTGTGTAAACTTATGTCCTTCTGCCTTTTTGTACTTAGTTACAACCTTAAAGACTCCATCTGACCAGGGCAAGCATGTTGAAAAGCAAAACCCTGGACCTACCTCACAGCAATCACAGCAATCCCAGACTTCTTACTTCCCCCGGGGTGGAGATTCACCCAAGGTCCAGATACCTTACCAAACAGCTCGTGGCCAGGTCCCGCGCAAGTTAGAGATAGAGAGGTATGCACTGTGACACTTCATCCATCGTTTCGGAGCTTTACTTGTTTTGCATTACCTGTAGTATGCATATTGTCCATACTGTTTTTTACTGGTCACATGTGAGTCAGTAAGACATTTCGCTTCTATCATACAGTACATATTCCGTTTTTATCTCTGATTGCAGAATTAGCTTTTTTAGTGGGGTCCATTCATTGTTTTACTTTATCTACATTTTGTCAATATTTGTTTATACTGATTTGTTTTCTTAAAGACGTCGAAGGGAATATTTGAAGTTAGACATTGAACAGCTCCTGGCAGAACAAGGCATCTATTCAAATCTTTTAATGCCAACACATCAGAGCAGCAGTGATGATCATGAGACTACAACAGACAATCCTGTTTCACCCTACTTATCCCTGGAAGTAAGTCTGTTACAACTGCCATTGTTTCTTTGGCATTTGGGTAGCCAATTACTGTTACATGCCATATTTTGTTGCACCACCCCCGATCATCTTTCCTGCCTTTCACCTCAAGGTATTTGACAATGAGGACTTTGAATGCCGGAATCCAGAAGACTGGCTTGCCCTGGGCATTGCTGAAAAATCACTGGAACAAAAACCTATCCCTGCAAAAGCTCTGCTGCCTACCGATGATGAAATTAATTCTGGTAAAATGTCCCCTGAAAAGAACTGTGTAAACAGAAGTACACATCATTGTCTGTTCTTTAATGAGTACTCTCCTTTTTGTTTTGAAGATGAGCCACAAAGCTCCTCCCTGGAGTACAGCTGGCGTCTAGTCGCTGTTCTTGACTATAGTAAGGAGAAATGCCAGTACCTTGTACAGAAAGTTTGCCAGAACAGCCAACTGACAGATAAAAAAGGTCGTCCTATTCTAAATGAAGAACACAAAAAGAGCAAATCTCCTGGTTGGTTGTAAAGTCTTTCCACTTTAATGAAACAGAATTATCCTACAATTTCCTCTTGTCTCTGTTTTTCGTATTGACTTTCCATACCATCCATTTCTCAGCAGGCACAACGTTCTGGGTACCCAGGATCAGATTGGTTTTCAGTGCTGAGGACCCACGTGTGTTTGTCAAACGGATCCAGTTTGCCCTGCGCTGGCAGGAAAACACAGAAGCTCTGCTTCTCTATCACCTTTCTGTGGACTGCATGCCAACCTGGAAGGGAACACCATCTCTTGATAGCCACGCTCTCCAGAGAATTAGAAGAATCACGCTTTCAGCCCCCGGGCTCAGACATAAAATGTGAGTGATGTCATATTACTGCTGTCATTATTCTCATTATTATCTGTTTTATAATAGATTCCTCTGAGTTCATGTGTTAACTTACTAATCGGGTGACTAAAGAAAACATTCTGTGTACAGTTTGGAGAAGTGTATCGGGGATCTGGAGAAGGAGCTCAAACTGGATTATGAGCGGACAATGAACCGCATGAGTTTTGACAGAGTTGTGATGAGACACCCAGAGGAGTTTTCACACATCACCCTGCCACAGAAGGGTCCTGCATATGTACCCCAATCAGGTGAGACGATTAGCTGTGTGCACATTTGTTTGAGTCAATCTGGTCAAGATTTAAGAATACTACTTTTTTTCCCACCGGGCGTGTTCCAGGGCGTGTTCCAGTTCCCACATTTCCCTATGAGAAGTATAAAACAGCTTTCTTCTTCAAGTCCCTGCTAACAAAGCCGGAGGTGATCCGTGTGTTATCTGAAATCTTGTCTGAGTGCAACAAAGTAGCAAACATGAGGCTGTTCAATGTCACCTCGGTCAAACCACTGCGACTGGACGAGTTTGAAGTCATTCAGGCTCAAATGCATACTCAGGTATCGTAGCATTGGGTAGCTTTTCTTCTGGCAATACTGTTAGTAGCTGACATTGAAAAAAGAGAAACCTTGACTACAAGGAAAACACCTGGATTTCACATTAATAAAGACGCTTTTAATCTTTGTGTCCTCCTCATTCTCCAGGTAAGCTTATTTCTTAGGGAGGGATGGATAGTCTCACTGAGCAACTGCATCCGATTCAACCTGCTGAGTATTGGCCGTGGCACTTACAACGTGGACGAGTCTCAATGGGAGATGTACAAGATGTCCAAGCTGTACAGATTGATGGCTGTGGTGCGCTACAAGCTGCAGGACTCCATGCGCCACCTGGTGCAGGCCTCGCTGCTCCGCCTGACTCTGCTGCTGTTAACCACCTGCCACAGTGTGCTGACATGTCCTCAGGACCTGGTCTGGGGGGACGACCTCGTCACTAGCCCATATAAGTAGGAAATTATGCACACATAGGCACACATTGAAATGTATTTAAACATCTTCATATATCGTTGTGCTCAAATGTATCTGTGTTTTCTTAGGTGGTTCCTATATTTTGCGAGTTATATACTCATTTCATTTTTAGGGACAGTTCACAACCAATTAAAAAATGCACATTATTCCTCTTACCTGACTATCTAGGTTATTTTTGTCTGGGTGGTTAAAGATAACGGCTGTAACAATGTCGGCATTCTTTGGAATATAATGGAACTAGATGGCACCAGTATTGTTGTGCTCACAGAGTCGAAAAGTAGTCTTAAAAAAAACTATTTTAGAAATCATAACCCTTGTTTTGAACGACGAGTGATCATCCTTGACTAGATTTATTTCTGTGTGGTGATGCGATTGGCTGCGTTAGTTTGGTAGAAAGAAAATAGTTCCTCACTAAATTCTGCAGATTTTCCTGAGTAACCAGGCCCTGATTCAAAGAACATTTGTGGCCGTTTAGTTTCTTATTTGTAGTTGTTTTTACAGTAGCTCTTTAATCACCGCCATCTAGATTAATTATATTCAGGAAAAACTAGACATCTCATCTGATTTTGAAGAGAACTGTAACTTTAAGGAGTGTTTGATAGTGAGTGTGACATAACCTGTCAATAACATTATCTCCATTCTCCATAACTAGGTCAGAAAGGACCCCTCTGTTCCTGTTGGACTTGATTCTGGATCAGACTGGGGTTCATTACAGCACTCCACTCGAGAACTTTAAGACATCCATGGTCAACCTGTTCGATAAGGCCATTCTGGCCACTTACAAAGTACCTCAGCTCGATAAGGTACATTTTTATCACCTGAATAACAGAGCATTACATTAAAATGCAAGGCTACATGAGACCTGTTAGTAAACATACTCAGAGTAGGGCTGTCCCGAATACCATTTTCCGGGCTCCGGATATTCGGTAGTTTTGAAGGAGAGTTAGCACTGTTGTTGACAGGAAGTTGTTGTTGCTATGGAAACAACGTGACGGAGATTAACGGAGAAAAGTCATATCTACATATAAAGACGGAGAAAGTAAACGATAAAGTGTATGGTTAAGTGTTGGCACCCTCCGAAGAGGCACAAGCTCTTACGTTGATATTGGAGATTTCAATAAATTCAATTTTAACCAAAAAAAACGAAAACAAAAAACGAATATTCGAAATTGAAACCCGAATAGTACTCCAACGTACGGATATTCGGATATTCAGATATTCGGGTACAGCCCTAACTCAGAGACAAAGATGTAATGGTTGTCTCCTCATTCAGTTTGTAATGCAGAAGATGTTCGTCGGTGGGGATCCGTTGCTTGAGTCAGTGAATCTTTGGGAACCAGAAGTAACTGCGCTGAGAGAAAAGGTCTCCAATGCTATGATGCAAGGAGTCATACCTCTCAGGGCCTATGCTGCTGAGTATGAGAAATACTTAGATTTACACAACCTGGACATAGAAACCCTTCTCAAGTAAGTCTGTTAAAAGCATATATTCAAGTTTTCCCACAAGGTAAAGGGTCAGTGTGATTTATGGTCCACTCAGCATGCTTTCCTCATTAAAGAGAGTCCGTTAATCTTTCCTCTGCCAGATCTCCTGCGAATGCAGAACAGACATCCCAGGAAGTGAAAAAAGAGGTGGAACAACATCTCAAAGACAAGGAAACACTTGAGCACTCTCTGCCGTCCTCCATTGTAATTGGAACATTTGTTATTCGAGTGGAGGGTGTACGTCAGGCTCTCTCCAACAAAAAAAAGGCTTTAGCCAATGCAATGCTGGCCATCCTTGCTGAGAAGCTAAGCAAGCAGGTTGATGAAGTAAGTCATTTGTTTCAAGGCCAGAAAAAGTATATACTGTATTGGTATAATTGGTGTGATTTTATTTCTTCACACTGGACCTAAATGTACCTCCTTTTGAAAGTGTTTAACACTGATTGTATCTTGCGTGTGCGTAGGCATGTGAAGAGTACAACACAATCAGTAGAAAGCTGCGTGAGAAACTGAACAGCATTGAAGAGCTGAGTGAGAAGAGGGAATGGATGAAGCAAGTCCCAGGCCAGCTCAAGAGTTACAAGGTGCACATTCGCAATCATTGACTGGCTATTTTCTTGTGTGTCATATAAAGGGTTAATTTGTCATTTAATCTGATTGTTTGTTCCATCTGTCCACACAGGAAGTTATTGGAAAGACCCTGTCAGACTATGAGCTAATAGAAGAGCTTCGCTACTCTCTTTCAAATGAGGATTTTGATAAAAAGTAAGAGTAACGTCAATTATTGTAATGTTTTGAAAACTACGTTTGTACGTTCTCATGTGAGATTAGATTTCTTTGGTGAATGGAGTACACTTTGGAGTTAAAGCTACTTCTCTCTGCAGGTGGACAGCTATTAGATGGCCTCAAAAGATAATAAGCCAGATGGAAGCAGCGGCCGCCCAGCATTTGGAGGATGAAGAGCGCTTCAATAAGATTCAGCTGGCCGACCAGAACAACTTTGAGGACCACCTCGACTCGCTAAAGGTCAGCCGAACCTAATAGGTTATTTTTATATCAGATTTTTATTTGGGCCAGAGTGTCTTTATTCCAGAGAGGGTGTTAAATTGAGAGATAGAGGGGAAGACATTGCCTGAAAACTTCGGCGGGCTCGGGTTTCGAACCCACCTACTAGCTACTGTAGTGTATTGCATCTCTGCGTGAATGATTAGATCATTTCACCTAAATTAAATCAAATGAAATGATGTTGATGGTTAAATTAGCTTCACATGTAGGCCTACTGAGTTCTGGATTTGCCATTTAGATCTAGAAAGACCTTGGGGCTATGTTGTTTGATTTAATTAAACACAATATATGCACTCCACTATGCTGTTGTAGTATTTACTGTATCTGAAGCTCTTAATTATGATTGCTCATATTTCAAGCCATCTTTTTCCCGGCCCCTTGCTTTGGATCATTTTCATCAACCGGCCCCATTCCAAACTAATTGAATAGCCCTGTTCTAAACCGTTCAGCATATTTTTATAGAAGTGGTCTCCCAGGGTTTCAGTTTTCTGGAGCAATTAAATAAAAGCATCAGAATTTAAAAGAAATATAGTCCGAAGCCCTTTGCACTGTACGAGCATAGGCATGTGCCTCATTTCTTTGCAAACTCTAGCTACAATTTTGGGGATCGCTTCCGAGATAGAGAGAAAAGTATAATAGTTTATATATTATATTGACTGTAATTGCAGAGGGTAAATTATTATTTACATCATCATTAAAGGATATATTAAAATGAAAATTGTGTGATTTTTTTCAAGTGGATTTGTACCAAACAATCATTTTTTTATTAATTCTATATAATACAGTTTATTGGCTAGAATATCTGCAGGACCATAGTACTTAATTCATAATTATTTATATATATGGAGCTTACTGGTTCTTGAATATTGCTCTAGTCCATATTGCGATTTCAATTATATTACAAGTGCAGCCCTAATCGTTTCTAACGGTAGCCACGAGCTGTTCTAAATTACCACTACCCTGTGTTTATAGATGCTGGTTGCTGGGATTGCGTGTCATGATGACATCAATCATGCCCATAAGGTGGCCAACAAAGTGAGGCGTACAAGCAAGCAACTGAAGGACTGTCTGACAATGGCTCAAACCTACAACACCAGAGAGCGTCTGTTTGGTATTCCTGTCACTAATGTAAGTACAAACAATATCCACGTTTGTTTTGAACTGTTAAACAAATAGTGATAAAATATACTACATAGATATCATAATAAGTATTTCTGACAATGCATTGTAAATGTGTTTTTCAGTATGATCGGCTACAGAAGCTGGTGAAGGACTTCCAGCCTTTTACGGACCTGTGGACCACCACCTCTGATTGGATGCGTTGGCACGAGAACTGGCTCAATGACCCGCTGTCTTCCATAGACTCCGAGCAGCTGGAGCGCAATGTTACAGATGTCCACAAGGTCATGAACAAATGTGTGAAACACTTCAAGGACATTCCTGGTAGGAGACGCATGTATGACCATACAAACTTGACAAAGGGAAGTGTAATTGTTGTTAATATGCTTAACGATTTCTTTATTGGCCTTATGCAACGCCAGGCTGCCAGATGGTTGCATCGGCGATCTGCATCAAGATCAAGGACTTCCAGCCGTACATTCCTCTGATTCAGGGCCTGAGGAACCCGGGGATGAAGAACCGCCACTGGGAGATTCTTTCAGACCGCATTCAGATGAAGGTCAAGCCCAAAGATAACCTCACCCTCTCTCGATGCCTGGAGCTGGGCCTACAGAACCACATAGAGGACATAGCTCATGTGGCCGAGGTGGCAGGGAAAGAGTACACCATTGAACAGGTACCTTAATAACACAGTGATTCATGAAGTTGTGCTTGTACAGGATGTGCGATGAATGGCGCGCCACCTTGGAGCTGCATTTTAAGTAGCTGAGTCGTATTCACTGCATGGTAATCCTTGAGATTTGAGTCCTGGTTGATGAGTTGTCCCCTGTTCATTGGTGGAAACAGCAACTGTTCAATACTGCAGGTCACAGAATACTAGAGGAACAAAGACAAACATTTTTTTTTCCATAAGAACAGACAGAAGTTTGCTCTTTTCCATCAATCTGTGAGTCTGCGAACACCGAATGTGAAAGAAGTATGTTACCTCATTATTTCTATTTGATCCACTGTAAAAAGAAGTAGAAAAGTGAACATTGTCATTTTTTGATAACACATTTTTGATGAATGATAGCAGACCATGTCAGGCTCTGTTAACCCTTAGATGCACGAGTGACTGGACCCTACACTCTTCCATAAGTGGGTCAAAAAGGACCTGTGTTAGAATAATATGTGTTTTTATGCCATTTTTGTCATTTTGGTTAAGAAAAATCACTTGTATAATATTTAGTATTATATTTTGGTTCACACTAGAAATATTTTATATTTAATTTTTCACTATTTATAATTTTAGACATTTTTTTACATTTTGAAAAAAAACGTTTTGAACATATTGATGCAAAGATCCCCGCTATTCTGAGACCCCCACAGTATTCAAGTCCCTTTTCAAAACTAATCTCTTCTCCTCTTGTCTACTCATAGCCCACCCCCCATCAATCCATGCTGGTTGATCAAGTTTGATAGTCCTATACCCCCCACCCTAACCTTCCCTTATATTGTAAAGCGATTTTGAGTCCTTGAAAAGCCCTATAAAAATATAATGTATTATTATTATTATACTGACAGGTATCAGATCTTGCTGTGTAAAATAATCTTCCTGAGAGGTGTCACTTGTGATGTAGTCTGTGTGGTCTACAGTGAATGTATTCCTGACAGCAACAGGTGATAAGAATCAAAGGTTCCCATAGGATCCCATAGGAAATGCATGCGCCACAGACAGCTTAAAGGTGGGGTAGGTAAGTTTGAGAAACCGGCTCGAGATACACTTTTTGTTATATTCCATGGAATGCTCTTAACATCCCGATAGCAATGAATATCTTAAGTGCTTTGAGAAAAAATCCATAAAAAAAATTTCATCTGTGGAAGCCGTGGTACTGTAAAAAGTACGACCAATCATTTTAGCCGGCCCGGCTAAAATAACTGGATGGCCTACCTGCCTGTCAGCCTTCCATCTGGGCACAAACTTATCTCGTGCCCTCATTGGTCATGTGCGCGTTCGTGTGTGTTGGAGGAGGGGCTCTATAAGGAAGTGGCAGATTTTTTCCGGTGGTGTATTTTCAAATTCTAGCGATCTCGAGCTGGTTTCTCAAACTTACCTACCCCACCTTTAATGTTACATATGTTAAATATGTGACATGCATAAAAAAAAAGTACTAAGTTATGATATATAAAAAATATATAATAAAAAATATAATAGAAAAAAAAAAGTTACATAATTAAAAAAAATACACATCCTGTAACAGTTCTACGGATTTAGCAGCCAGGTATATATTACACAGTTATTAATGGCATCTATATATATTGCACATCTAGCACATATTGCACATAGGTGGTTGGTATTTAACAGCAGCAAGTTACACAATTTACAAAATACAAAATACACACCTTGTAACAGTTCTAAGGATTTAGCAGCCAGGTATATATTACACAGTTATTAACAGCATTTATATATTGCACATATTGCACATCGTTTGTTGGTATTTAGCATCAAGGGGTGATATATATAGTCTGTGTTGTGGGGGGGGGGGGTCAACTAGGGGCTGTGCTGGTTGTATAGTCTGACTGCTGCAGGAAGGAAAGACCTGTGGTATCTCTCCTATAATGTGTTACCTCATTAGGTGGAGGATATTAACAGAACCGATTGATATTCAAATTAAAATCTTTAAGATCAATGCTTTAAAATGCATTTCACTTGAAAGCACTTGACTGAAATGTAACACCAAAAGGATGGTGACACAGAGGCGAAGTGACTCGTGGGTTTTTAGATTAAAGCAACTCACTTACTCTTTCCTGTTGAACACAACAAGTGTGTGGATATCTGCATTAAAGTGGTGGCTGCTGCCTTTGTTTCACACCTATTCACACAGGCCCTGGACAAGATGGAAAACGAGTGGTCAACAATATTCTTTGACGTGTTGCCCTACAAGGATACAGGCACCTACATCCTGAAGAGCCCAGATGAAGTCTCACAGATGCTGGACGACCACAATGTCATGACGCAGAGCATGTCCTTCTCTCCCTTCAAAAAGTCCTTTGAGGCCCGTATCAACACCTGGGAGGGCAAAATCAGAATGACTCAGGTACACACACAAACTATGGTCTTCTTGAGTATTGTATAATTATTATACAGTGTCTTTTGTCGTGCTACTGCCCTCTTGTGGTTTCTGCAGGACGTGCTGGAGGAGTGGTTGACATTCCAACGCTCCTGGCTTTACTTAGAGCCCATCTTCAGCTCGGATGATATCACCCAGCAGCTGCCTGTGGAAGGAAAGAGATACCAGCTAGTGGATAGAACGTGGAAGGCAGTCATGAAAAGTGCCTTTAAAAATCCAAAGGTCAGAGCCTCCACAGCACTACATATGAAAGGAGAAAGCTTTTGTTTTTATACGGAGATGTTAAAGTGTGTGTTTATTTCTAGGTGATTGAGCTGTGCCCAGATTCTAGGCTACTAGAAAAACTGAAAAGGTGCAACGAACTGCTGGAAGAGGTCCAGAAGGGTCTTAGTGAATACTTGGAAACAAAAAGAGGCTCCTTCCCCAGGTAAGCCTTTTTTGAAAGTGTCCTTATAAATTACTCTCAACTACGGATATTTGTCATTAATTATGAGATGATTCAACATACCATTCCCCGGAGAGGGTCTGCAGTCATGTTCATTTGATATCAAAACCTGAACAACATTAAAGGTGGGGTAGGTAATTCACTTCAGAAACACTTTTTGTTATATTCCATGGAATGCTCTTAACATCCCGATAGCAATGAATAAATGAAATGCTTTGACAATAAATACATTAAAAATATTTCATCTGTGGAAGCCGTAGTACTGTAAAAAGCACGACCAATCATCTGAGCCGGCCTGGCTAAAATAACTGGATGGCCTACCTGCCTGTCAGCCTTCCATCTGTGCACAAACTTATCTCGTGCCCTCATTGGTCATGTGCGCGTTTGTGTGTGTTGGAGGAGGGGCTCTGTAAGGAAGTCTGAAGGAAGGGGCAGATTTTTTTCTGCTGCCTACTTTCAAATTCTAGCGCACTCGAGCTGGTTTCTCCATTCTTACCTACCCTACCTTTAAGTGGCCGAAGAAACTTTTTTTTTATAAGTGTTGGGAGTAGCTGTGATACCAAAAACAAAAGAAGCAATGGCTTCTAATAACAATTAACAATAGATGATTTCTGACCCAAAAATGTGTTTCTATGCAAAATCACGAGACACTTGGAACTAAATATTTCTAAATATTTTCTTTGTAGGTTTTACTTCCTGTCAGACGATGAACTCCTGGAGATTCTGTCCCAGACCAGAGATCCTACTGCTGTTCAACCTCACTTGAATTTTAACTGAAATAAGGGTCTTTCAGGGAACTACACATTTTTCGAACTCTTAAGTGTTATCAAATTACATTTCCCAAAGGCCTCATAGAACAAAAAAAGACTCTTTCCATTACAAAGATATCATAAATGATGTATGCCCAATAAGTCGGGTGTCTGGCTTAAGTCATTTCTTTATTTAATTACATTTTCAAGCATCTACACTCATTAATCTTTATAAGTATGTTGTTGAACTGTTGATGAATGTAGTAGTTTATGAAATAGCCACTTGTATTTGCCACTTTTTAAAGACTTGGAGTTCCTTATATAGTCTTGCAGTATAACAATTTAAATATTAAAAATGTGTGAAAATTATAAACATTGTTGGGGAATAATTTGCTTAGGTACTCAACCTTTGACACAGTTCATCTTTTTCTCCTCTCACTGTCTCCTTTCCCATGGCATAGTTCTACGGCCTTGGGTATTGCTGCTATCTCTCTTAAGGAGGGGCAGCTTGGGCGCATTGTTGTTGCCAGTCTATGACAGAGCACAAGCCGCCATGAGGTAGTTTACTGTTCAGGGACGAAGGTTCCCTGGCGCACATTCTTTTCTATGGACGAGAGCTCTAGTTAGATTCAGGGTCCATATTGCTTTAGTCTCGCTGATGAAGAATGTTGATTATTACACTCCGAAATAGTTAAAACCTCGAGCTGCAGAAAGAGTTCTTCAGAATTGGTTTGGCAACCGCTGTGTCAACTCGTGACACACCACATGTCTTGTGAATTCTCCGGCCGAAGCTCCAAATAAACCGTCAGTGTTTGCCATCAAAGCTCCAGCTCTCCTCGTGTCTCTTTGAGTCCTGTTTCCAATTGCTTCAGAAGTTTCCCCCACAAACATGATATTATTTATACTCCCATTTGCATTGATCATTGTGCACACCACAGTCTGCTGACATCCTAAAGACTTCCCCTCTTGTTTCTGAAGCTGGGCGACTTGGTGCAGCTGGTGAGAGGACCTCTGTCTAAGATGCAGCGGGCGGTGCTGTCTGCCCTCATCGTCATCGAGGTCCACGCTAAGGAGGTTGCAGCCAAACTGGTGGAGCTGCAGGTCTCCAGCAGCATCAATGACTTTGAGTGGATCAGCCAGCTCAGGTTGGCTGTTTGTATTTTGATCTCTCTTTGCTCTTTGGTTCGGTAACTCCTGACGCTGCAGTCCACTTTATCTGTCACAGCTTCTTTCCTGCGTTTCTAAAAGCCACTATAGAAGCAATTCAAAAGATATTTCCAACACGTTATCCTTCCAGTTATTAGTTTATTCACAGTCAAAACATGTCCAGCTTGTGATGCTGGATTGATGGTATGCTGCTCGTGTGGTTAATCAAAATAAAATAAAGTTGTTTCCACACACATTCAAAAAAGAAATTATGCATATACAAGATATAAATTAATAAAAACAGAAGAGGCATACCTCAAATAACATTACAGCAAACATTTATTTCTTTTTGCTGGATGATTACGGTTGAGAACTGTGTCTTGTTGGCACACAGGTTGCCAAATATAGCCCTATATAATTGGCTGGTGCTGTGGGAATTGTAGTCTTTTATCTTAATGGACTGCATTTGACTCCACTAGGTGGCAATATTATTCTCACAAAACTAGCTCTAACACTACATTTGTGCAATACTGTGGATGCAGAATGAGAATGACACTGATGTGATACTGTTTGTAGATATTACTGGACCAAAAATGACTTGTACATCCGGGCAGTGAATGCAGAGTTTTTGTACGGATACGAGTACCTTGGTAACTCCGGACGTCTGGTCATCACCCCGCTCACTGACAGGTAGGTGTAAAGTATAATGTTTTTTACTCTGTTTTGTATCGTTCTCCCTTTTAATACACTACTCCCTGCCCCATCCAGATGCTACCTGACCCTAACAGGAGCTCTACACCTGAAGTTCGGAGGGGCTCCTGCAGGTCCAGCAGGGACAGGGAAGACAGAAACCACTAAAGATCTGGGAAAGGCGCTGGCTATCCAGACCGTTGTTTTCAACTGCTCTGATCAGCTGGACTTCATTGCTATGGGCAAGCTTCTCAAAGGACTGGCCAGGTGAGAGGCAGTAACTAAAGTGTGAAAGAAAATCTGCAGTTAATCACATTCATGGATGCCTTCTTGCCTGTCTGCCTTTTCCGCAGCTCCGGGGCCTGGGCATGCTTTGATGAGTTTAATCGTATTGATGTGGAGGTGTTGTCTGTTGTGGCGCAGCAGATCACCACCATACAAAAGGCCCAAATGCAAAGGGTGAGAAGCTGATTCACTAGAAATGCATTTACTTTTCAACAGAGTGCTTGAGTTATGCATAAGTACAGTCTGTATTTCCATGTACATATTGTATATACTGTATGTTGTATTTCTACTGCATTTAAAAAGACGTTTGTTTGTTTTGCTGTATTAGTTTGATATGTTTTATATTTTTGAGTTGAATAACCTTAACTATGTTATATAATGTAATGTAAAAACCAACATAGGTTATCATCTTTCAGTCATCTGTTAAGCATTAAACATGGTATTATTGTTTATTATTATTATTACTAAACAGTTTAATATCATACATTGCTAGTTTTGACATTTGTAAATATTGTTTTATATAAGCAAAGAATCAGATTTCTTTTTTTCATTCCACACATAGAGGCAGCCTTTTTAATCCCTATAAAATGTTTGTCTAATGTGTGTGTATGTCGTGTTTTCAGGCAGAGCGGTTCATGTTTGAGGGGGCAGAAATCCCTCTTGTCCAGTCCTGCGCCGTGTTCATCACCATGAATCCTGGGTACGCCGGACGCACGGAGCTGCCTGACAATCTCAAGGTTTGAAAAGATAATTTTGAATTAGCTGTGTCACACCAAAGATAAGCAGATGGGGGTTAATAAAATGTTACACTCTACAGGCACTGTTTCGTCCCGTGGCGATGATGGTACCTGACTACGCTATGATTGCTGAGATCTCCTTGTACTCATTTGGCTTCAGTGATGCCAAAATCCTCTCCAAGAAGATCACCACCACCTTCAAGCTCTCCTCCGAACAGCTCAGCGCTCAGGTTTCGTATGGACTTGAAGAAGATCAGAATTAGGATCGGTTTAATGTCCAAATACATGTTATATATATCCCAAGAAAATGCGCTAATTTGAAAGGGAAATCGCTGTAGGTAATAATATACTTTGACTGACTTTTGCTCTTGTTTATATGAAGGATCATTATGACTTCGGTATGAGAGCGGTGAAGACTGTGATCTCAGCTGCTGGAAACCTCAAGAGAGAAAATCCTGATATGAACGAGGTATAAAATGTTTCTTCTGTTCATGATGGAAATAATGTATAAGAAATATGACACAAATATTAAATAATTCAAAAAAATACCCGTCCTTTTAAATATCTAATTATTCTGCAACCTCCCAGGAGCTGATCTGTCTGCGAGCCATTCAAGATGTCAACGTACCAAAGTTTTTACAGGACGACCTGAAGCTCTTCAACGGTATTGTGTCCGATCTTTTCCCAAAGACAAAACAGGAGCCAATCGACTACGGCACACTGGAGGAGTCCATGCGTGATGTCTGCACCAAGAAGAACCTCAAAGATGTGGATGGTTAGTGTTGCTGAAAGCACTGAAATGATGTTCTCAGATTTCCAAGTACCTATGACAACTATTAGGGCCACGGTAGGTCAAGAGCAAAGAGGAACATCTAAACTACTGGGATTAAAGTGGAAATTATAAAAGAAAACATTTGTGATATTATCTGAGATTATGAAGTCAAACTTTTCCCTGAAATGCACAGAAAACTAATTGTTTTTAAAGTAAATTGAACACTTTTAATCTAGGGATATTTTGAGATTTTCCTCGTAGTATTATGTCCCTTCCACGGCTCCGTGATATATATATGTGTTGTATCTATAAAGGCGTTGTCGAAGGTCCCTGTATTTTTAGGATGAGTATTTAAAAGTACTGTTGTGATTGCAGGGTTTATTTCTAAGTGTATTCAGCTGTATGAGACCACTGTGGTGAGACACGGCCTGATGTTGGTGGGACCCTCTGGATCCGGTAAAACCAAGGTGGGTCTTTAACTTGTTTACAGTTTAAATCACAGTCCTCCAACGTTTGAAATTATTTTTGTTTTTGCATGTCTGTCTGTCTGTCTGTCTGTCTGTCTGTCTGTCTGTCTGTCTGTGTTAGTGTTATGAGGTTCTAGGTGCGGCGATAACAGCTCTGAAGGGCCAGCCCTCTGTGAGCGGCGATGTGTATGAAGCGATTCAGATATATGTCCTCAACCCAAAGTCTATCACCATGGGACAGCTCTACGGGGAGTTTGACCTGCTCACACACGAGTGGTAAGTTATGTTATGTCTTCCTCAAAATAAACCTTTACAAATTCCAACTTATACTATAAACAGACACACTTTTCTCCCCCTACAGGACAGATGGCATCCTTTCCGCTGTTATCCGTGCAGGTGCATCATCCATGGACACTGTGAAAAAGTGGTATATGTTTGATGGGCCAGTGGACGCAGTTTGGATTGAGAACATGAACACTGTGCTCGATGACAACAAGAAACTGTGCCTCAGCTCGGGGGAAATCATCAAGCTCAGTGAGGTAAGGTTACCTTTTCACAGTCTTCATTTTGTCCCTGTTGCTAACACAGGGGGTCCGCGGGGTCTTAAAAAATATTAAAAGTTGATAAATCAATTTAGCGAAAATGAAGGCTATTAAAAAGTATTAAATGGCATTTTCCAAGGTATTACATTTTGTAGCTTGTTTTCAATAAGTATATAAATTGTCCAAAGAGTTTGTATTCTACAGTTTGCCTGAATGTAATCATTGCGTAGGTGTGTAGTGTGATTCTGTGTAGTTTATTTATGGCATCCCGTTGGATTTGACGTCATCTGAACAGGACATCGCACGCTCACTGCTTGATAGCGCGTTATGGGGAAATGCAAGTCTGCGTCCAAATGGTTGGAAGATAAGGAGGAAGGACAATCAATACTGTATATAGTAAATGTGAGGTAAAGTGTGTCGCCAATGGAACCGGTTAAAACTCGAAGTGGCGATGAGGTCTTAAAATGTATGGAAAGGGTCTTAAAAGGTATTACATTTTACGTCAGGATTCCTGCATATACCCTGTAACACACAATATACAATGGGTGTTTCTCAATGTCAAGGACGCTTCCTTGGTAGCACATGTCTTCCGAGTCAGTTGCTTCAGAAGCGAGGCAAGAATCCTTCCTAGCCTCGGAAAACGAAGAATGGTGGAACAGAATAACAGGTCTGCAGGTGTGCGTCATATGCGAGGCCCCGCCTTAAATGGAGCGCGATTTCCGCCAAAGATTTGGAAATTGGTCCGTGCGCAAAGCATTGTGGGGATTTTAAGACCGCGGAGTCTACACATGTGCAGCCTCGAAAGTTCTCGCTACGAAGGACGCCGGGCTCGGTAGAATTCCAAGGAGCCTGGACATTGGAACAGTCCTTCGGCGGGACTCGATGACGTAGCATCCTTGAAATAGTGGCTCTGGAGCATCCTTCTTTGACATTGAGAAACACCCAATATGTACCTTTTGTTCACAGTGCAGGGAAAAACTAAAAAATCACCTGGAAAAAAACTTGAAAACATTTTTGCCACACAGTGCCAAAGTTAGAAAATGATCCTGATAAAACTTTTTGACAATAGTGAATTTTCCTCAAAAGCTGTTTCCATGGCAACGCATCCCTCGCGTGAAACACGGTTTTCTCATAACTCAGAACATGCTCCAAAAGGCCCAAAACTTCACAGGTTTGATAACGATGCAGCCATCAACACATCTAAGCATATTATGGGGTGTCATCAAATTACGTTGCCATGGCGACAGATCACTCGCCATCAAACACAATGTTTGTGTCACTGCTGTAACTCCCATGTACGTTGACCGATCGGCCTGAAAATTCCCACGTTTGCCAACGGCCGAGTCCTCGAGACACCTACGTGACACGTCGACGTGCGGACAACAGCCTGCGGAGCGTCGAAGACCCGCTCAACGCTGCTTGCAGCTTTAAATCAAGGTGTACAAAAAACAAAACCCTTTTTTCATATTTAACTTTGAAAATAACCAAATGAAAAATGATCTTGTCAAAAAAAAATGTCATATGTTTTTAAATCATAAAACAGGAGAAAAATACTATTTGGATTAGCCTAAGAAAATGGATCACAAAGACATTTGTTTCTCACTTGCCTCTAAGGACTTCCGTATCTGTCGTTTTGTGTTTTCTCCCTGCAGGTGATGACCATGATGTTTGAGGTGCAGGACTTAGCGGTGGCCTCCCCAGCCACAGTGTCTCGCTGCGGGATGGTCTACCTGGAGCCCAGCGTTCTGGGCCTCGTCCCTTTCACAGAGTGTTGGCTGAGGCGAGTCCCTGAAGCCCTGAAACCGTTCACAAAGCAGCTCGAATCGCTTTTTGCCAGGTTCCTCCAGGTGAGAGACGGAACTGAGAGACACCAGCAGCAGGGAATCCAAAAGCTTTTCGTTATGACTGCATGCAGGGCCGTTTCTTCCTATAGGCCACTAGGGGGCCCCCAAGCTGAAAGTTCAGGTTCAGCCTCAATATATTTGGGGAGAATTAAAATTAGCCGTCTTTATTTGTAGACAGCCAAGCCCCCCTCCTGTGTTCGGTGAAGCATTATATGCTTAAAAATCTAGTGTAGGATATAAACACAAATAAACTGCAACGATAGCAAAGCTGTGGCTTGTGTTTTTGGGGTAATAAAGCCCAAATCATCGTTGGGTTGTCAGCCAATGAGTGACGTCTGAGGAAGATGAAAAATGTAAATTATACATTGTTGAAAGAATGCTGCATCTCTTGCATTTATTGACGTAGAGGAGCCTTATTGTTTACCTTTTTAATATCATTTTTTGTAAGTTTCAATTGCTTGGTTTTTGTGAAATTAGCCTGTTTTCCTCCTAAAGTGTAACAGATTGATGCTTCTCCACAGATCCTCTTAAAGGCTTCGGAATCCCCCCATTGTAGTTAAAAAACTGTAAAAACTAGGGCCCCCAAAAAGCTAGAAACGGCCCTGACTGCATGTGTGTTAATGTTTCTGTGCTGTTACCCAGGACGCCATCACATTTGTCCGCACATCAGTAAAGAAGGTCATCACATCTCTGGACAGCAACCTCACCTGCAGTCTGCTTAAAGTTATGGACTGCTTCTTCAATCCCTTCAACATTAAAGAGGTGTGTGCAGCTTCTCTCTGTTAGATTCACACGCAACTTGTCTTAACCATCAATTTCATGTTGGTAAATAATTTGTCAAGCTACCTGAGCAGTCATCAAGTCGTGAGTGTAAATTAATGTGCAGGAAGTTACTGATTTCACCTTGACAAAACCCTTTCTGTTCTTTGTTCTTTGTATAAGTGAAATGTGTCGATTGTGATCTCCTCACCTATATAATAATATATGCCTGGCTGCTAAATCCGTAGAACTGTTACAGGATGTGTATTTTTTTTAATTAAGTAACTTTTTATTTTGTATTATATATGTTTTTATTATATCATAACTTAGTACTTTTTTTAAATGCATGTCACATATTTAACATATGTAACATTAAGCGGTCTGTGGCTCTTTTTCCTGCTGTAACTACGCACATTTCCCCTCCGTGGGACTAATAAAGGGGTTCTGATTCTGATTCTGATTCTGATTCTGTTCCGGTTCCTAATCAGTGCAGCACTATTGTGTGACTTTGATCAGTATTGTTTTTATGTTTAGGGAGAGTACAGGGCAGCCATGGCAGAGGAGTGGCTGCAATGTTTCAAAAAGCTAAATGTTCCACACACTGACGAACCAAACCTGATCAACACCTTCGGAGACCCGGTCAAGATCCGCTCATGGCAGGTCGGAACAAGATTTTGTGTTAACTATTGATTTTTTAAATATATTTTTCGGGGCCAGTGAGTTTACTTAACTTAATGGTAATTTACCTTTTCTGTCATCGTACTTTGTCATTTTAATGTGCACAGATATCAGGTCTGCCCAAGGATAACCTCTCAGTGGAGAACGGTGTGATCACCCAGTACTGTCTGCGCTGGCCTTTATTCATCGATCCTCAGGGACAAGCCAACACTTGGATCAAAAACATATATATCTTATCTGTGTACTGATCCGACCATCACTGCAGAGGGCGCCAGTGAGACAAAAAGAGATAGAAAGTAGCTGTGTCAAGATATCTACTGGTTTCAGTAAATATATGTGTACACATTACCCTGAATTCCTTGTGATAGCTTCTCAGTGTCTGTATTTAATCCTCCGTTTATTCAGACCTGCTTCTTGTTGTCCCCCAGGAGAAGGACAGTAGATTGGAGGTCATTAAGTTAAGTGACCGGGACTTCCTCCGCAGTCTTGAGAATGCCATTCGCTTTGGGAAACCCTGCCTCTTGGAGAATATAGGGGAGGAATTGGATCCTGCCCTAGAGCCTGTCTTGCTGCAACAAGTTAATACATACCCAAACAAGAATCTCTTGTGCAAATATCCACGATCCACCATTCACTGGTCTGATGATACACTTTTTTTGGCCCATAGACATTTGTGCTGAGAGGCAGCACCATGCTGAAGCTGGGGGACACAGTCATCCCTTACCAACAAGGCTTCAAGATGTACATCACCACCAAGCTGCCTAACCCACACTACTCTCCAGAGGTGGCCACCAAAGTCACCCTCATTAACTTCACCCTGTCACCAAGGTAACACATGTTATAAACCCAAAAAGGCAAAATCGAGTTTGTTTTAAACAGGGGTGGGGAACCTCCGGCATCCGGGCCGTATACGGACCGCGAGACCATTTGATACGGCCCTCGAGGTAATTTATAAACACACGCAAAAAAAAATTAAAGAAATCTAGACCGCAAAAAAATTAAACAAGCGAGTGCCTGTTTTTCCTGGCCAAGGTCAGGGTCCTTGAACCCGGCACTTCGGAAATTGCAGTACCCATAAGGAGCCGTACACATGCCGCAGTTTTTGCGTGGCTGTGTCTTTAGTTGAAAGCCCAGTATTTCAGTCTCATATGTTTGTTGATTGTTAGTAAATAATATTCCAAAACATCCTTGATATTAAAATGAAATGTGAGCAAAAGATTGACAAGAAATCTGCTTGTGACTTTCAGAAAGAAATCCAACATTTCTTCAGAATGAATTCAGTTGATGAACTTTATTCTAACAACTAATGTCTGGCTCTCACTGTCTTTATTCTCAGCGGTCTGGAGGACCAGCTGCTGGGCCAGGTGGTGGCTGTGGAGCGTCCAGACCTGGAGGAGGCTAAGAACCAGCTGATCATCAGCAACGCCCAGATGAAACAGGAGCTGAAAGAAATTGAGGATGAGATCCTGTTCCGACTCAGCTCCACTGAGGGAAACCCCGTGGACAACGAGGAACTCATCCAAGTGTTCGGAGCTTCCAAGATCAAAGCTGGAGAGATCAAGGTAAGAAAGTGGGAGAGCTATAATCTCCAATACCCCAACAAACTTCATATATTGTGATTCTTTAGCAATGTTCCATCAAAGTCATATGCTACTGGATTTTACTAACGCAAGCTGGTTTTGCTGGCAGGCCAAAGTGGTGGTGGCAGAGCAGACGGAGAAGGACATTGACGCCACCCGCCTGGAGTACGTTCCAGTGGCTGTGCGCACACAGATCCTATTCTTCTGTGTATCGGACCTGTCGAATGTCGACCCCATGTACCAGTACTCACTGGAGTGGTTCCTCTGCATCTTCATGGCTGGCCTTGCCAACTCTGAGAAAGCAGGTAGAATTTCCACAGTAGCTCATATACACAGAACTATGTCTGTTCAGATGGAAAAGACATGAAACTGCTTTATGGCTTTAAAACACATGGGAACATTATTTTCTGCTTCCGCTGAATGTATTTGATGTGAGGCTGTGGCTCAGTGGGATTGTGCGCTGAACTTAGTGCGCTGAACTTTGAATCAGGGGATAGCAAGTTCGAGTCTCACTGCAGTCAGCATGTCGTTGTGTCCCTGGGCAAGACACTTCACCCCAAATTGCTCCTGTGGGGATTGTCCGCAGTACTGAATGTATGTAAGTCGCTTTGGATAAAAGCGTCTAACAAGTGACATGTCATGTAATGTTTTTTACAGACACGGTGGAGGAGAGGATTGCCAACATAAATGAGTTTTTCACCTTCAGCCTGTACAGCAATGTGTGCCGCAGCTTATTTGAGAAGAACAAACTCATGTTTGCCTTTCTCCTGTGCGCTCGCATCATGATGAATGAGAACAAAATTGATATGGTGAGAAACGTGGGAGTTTGCAGTCTCCCTCCCCTCTTTAATTTCCTGTGGGAACTCGTACAAACACAGAGGTGGAGTTTGTCCTTTTACATTTCCTGAATTGAATTGTGGCAGGCTGAGTGGCGTTACCTGCTGTCTGGAGGGATGCCCGCCCAGGAGCTGACAAACCCAGCAGTGAGTTGGCTGTCGGAGCGAGCCTGGCAGGACATTCTGGGCCTCAGCGCTCTGGACAACTTCAGAAACCTGGCAGAGAGCTTCCCCGAACATCTGCAGGGTTTCAAGAGCATCTTTGACAGCAACCAGCCTCACAGGCATGCATAGAAAAAAACCCTTGTTAACAAATGGACACTTGTTTCCTTCATTTCAACTGTGCAGTAGCCGTCCATATCTAACGGGGTGTGCATGTGTGTGTATTTGCTTATAGGGACCCTCTCCCAGGACAGTGGGACACCGAGCTGGACTCGTTCCAGAAGCTGCTGGTGCTGCGCTGTCTGAGGGCCGACCGCCTTGTTCAAGGCCTGCAGGACTTTGTCTCGGCTCAGCTGGGACAACGCTTCATAGAGCCTCAGGTAGAGTTTCTCTCCTCCCTCGTGCCCTAGAAGGTTCGTTTGGATCTGATGTAGTGGGGTTGTGTGAGGTTCGTATCCTTAGTCAGTGTATTACCTACTGTAGCTGGAGATCTAGCCTCCAGGTTGGAAAAGCAGACAGCAGTACTGAAGCAAAGAAATCCTCTGCTGTGGACCGAGGCAGCAGCTAAACCTATTATAGCTACCTAAAAGAAAGGAAAATTAATACAAATGTAAGCGTTAAATATATTTATAATATTTTCAACGCTTTACCTTCCCTTCGGACATCCCTTTCGGATAAAGAACTGAAGCTATTATATCCTGGGTATCCTGTCTTTAAAGCCACCAGACAGCATTTACAAAAACAGTAATTTTACCTCACTGACTGCCTCCTCATCAGCAGTCTAACTGGGACACTCCGACTGCCATGTAGGATAAGAACCTCTCCTCTCCTCTCCTCTCCTCTCCTCTCCTCTCCTCTCCTCTCCTCTCCTCTCCTCTCCTCTCCTCTCCTCTCCTCCCCCCTCCAGCAGTCTAACTGGGCCCCCCGACTGCCATGTACTGTAGGATAAGAACCTCTCCTCTCCTCTCCTCTCCTCTCCTCTCCTCTCCTCTCCTCTCCGACTGCCATGTACTGTAGGATAAGAACCTCTCCTCTCCTCTCCTCTCCTCTCCTCTCCTCTCCTCTCCTCTCCTCTCCTCTCCTCTCCGACTGCCATGTACTGTAGGATAAGAACCTCATACAACCTCACTTCATACAATCCAAACGAACCCTTCACATTAAAACCAATATGTATGCACTGACACAATTAAGTCTTATTTGTGACAGTGGCTCCGAATAGTGAAGCAAAATGAACATTGCAATTTAATTCAATTTCTTTTGGTTTGTACTGCAGCAGTGCAATGTGTGGAGTACAGATTTACTATGCTAATGTCAGCCGGGAAAAATACATGTGGATGTTTTGCTTTACAGTCGTATTAATGGCTTGTTACCCTCTCGATCTTCTCACAGACGTCAGACCTGTCGGTGGTCTTCAAGGAGTCTTCCCTCTCCACCCCCCTCATCTTTGTGCTCTCCCCTGGCACAGACCCCGCTGCTGACCTCTACAAATTTGCAGATGTCATGCAGTTCTCCAAGAAAATGAGTGCCATCTCTCTGGGCCAGGGCCAGGTCAGAGCCAGGGGCTGCTCTCTCTCTCTCTCTCTCTCTCTCTCTCTCTCTCTCTCTCTCTCTCTCTCTCTCTCTCTCTCTCTCTCTTCGATACACAGCGCTGTAAAACACTTTCACACAGAACCAGGCCATTCTCATCTCACTTGTTAAGAATGGCCACCTATGTGATAATTGCTTTCTCTATTTATGGCCATGGGACAGGGCGATATACACAACTATTTTAGGCAGATGCTCGATTCCAGGACACAAAAAAAAGCACCAAAAAAATTACAACACCTCATGTGTAGGTTTTGGGATGAATGCAGACTCATATTCCACCCACCGGAAACTGGCCAAACATTTCTCCCAGCAACACTCTCCCCCTGAGGTTGTTCAAAAGGTGTTAGCGTGTGTTTGTCACATCACTTGCAACTATGTGAGTTAGACTCTTGGCTTGTGCTGCGCTGTTACATCAGCCTGTCCTCGTTTTACGTCTCCATTGAACCTAGTGCTCTTAAATGTTTCAGTAAGACTGCAAGAATGTCAAACTAGCTACAGGGAGATGTATATGTCGACCACTAAATAACTACACCCTTTTACAAAATATGGATGTTTTCTCTTATATTAAAGCTTCTGTTTGTGACTCTTGTTGTTGTCCTCTGCCTTTTGTTCTGCTGTTGTTTGTGTGATTCAGGGCCCCTGGGCAGAGAAGCTCATGCTCGCTGCTATGGAGAGAGGTCATTGGGTCTTCTCCCAGAACTGTCACCTGGCGCCCAGCTGGATGCCCTCCCTGGAGAGACTCATTGAAAACATCAGCCCAGTAAAGGTCAGACCATTACGCATTGATCACATGGTCTGTGCACTTTTGTAGTATTGTGAGTTGATCAATTCCTTTTATTGCTTGTCTCATAACAGGTGCACAAGGACTTCCGTATGTGGCTCACGAGCCTTTCCAGCAACAAGTTCCCAGTGTCTATTCTCCAAAATGGGTCAAAGATGACCATCGAGCCTCCCAAGGGAATCAAGGCCAATCTACAGAAGACCTACCTGAGGCTCACCAATGAGTTCTTCACCTCCTCCACAAAGGTCCGTCTGCTCCTGCTTCATATCTGGATCCACTCAAATGTTAGATTAGAAAACCAGCCATTTTGGAGCTGTTTAAACATCCAGCATCTAGTGGTGACTTTAACTTCTCTCCTCTCCTCTCCTCTCCTCTCCTCTCCTCTCCTCTCCTCTCCTCTCCTCTCCTCTCCTCTCCCCTCCTCTCCTCTCCTCTCCAGGCATCACACCTCAAGGCTTTGCTTCTGTCTCTGTGTCTCTTCCATGGAATTTCTCTGGAGCGAAGGAAGTTTGGCCCACTGGGCTTCAACATTCCCTACGATTTCACAGACGGAGACTTAAACATCTGCATCAGCCAGGTCAAAATGTTCCTGGACGAGTACCAGGACGTCCCGTACAAGGTGGGTGGAGGAGAACTCTTCTGTCTGTATTTAACAACCTGTTAAGATAACAATACCTCAAAGCCACATCATTTGTAGTCACTCTGTGTGTGTTTGAGCCTGCTCATCTGTCTGTCTCCCCTTCTTGTTCTGCACCTGTCCAGGTGTTAAAATATACCGCAGGGGAGATAAATTACGGCGGCCGAGTGACAGATGACTGGGACAGACGATGCCTGCTGAGCGTCCTGGAGGATTTCTACTGTCCTGCTGTGCTGGAAGACGGTCACTTCTACTCTTCGTCTGGAGTCTACCGGCAGATAGACACAGATCTGGATATCAAGGTCAGATAAACGCAGGGTCTTTCAAAAGATTGTGATCAGAGCACTAATCCGTCTCTCACTGTTCAGTTTAATACATGAAAAGTCTTTAGGGGGTATATTGCGAGACAGCCATCTATTAAACATGAAGATATCTTAAATTAAATAACATGAACAATTATTATTCTACAAGCAGAAAACATGACATTTGTATTTTTCAAATTAATTATACCATCAGGTTTTTAACAGGCCTGAGCTTGATAGAAAAGTAAACATTAAACATTTTTACTATAAGTAAAAGTTAAATAAAATAAAAACTTTAAAATGCCAAATAAAATAAAGTAAGGGAAAAATAAAATGTACAAATCAAATGTGATATGCTACAGAAACTTATGAACTGCTGACTATCATAACCTGTTGCTCTGAAAATCTTGCTTTAGGGTTACCTGGCATACATTCGTGGTTTGCCCATCAATGATACACCTGAGATCTTTGGTCTCCATGACAACGCTAATATCAGCTTTGCCCAAAACGAGTCCTTCGCCCTGCTGGGAGCTCTGGTTCGACTCCAGCCTCGAGCTTCATCTGCCGGGGGCAAATCTCTGGAGGAGGTAGCGTTTTTTTGTTGCCGAACACTGTTTAACAGCAATTTGGTTGTGATGTGTTGTGTCTTTAATATCTAGACTACATGTTGGGTTTCATTGTTGATGTTCCATGTTGTAGATAGTGGAGGAGATCGTGGCAGGCATCGTGGAAAAGATTCCTCGGCCTTTCAACATTCAGGACGTGATGGAAATGTTCCCGGTGCTCTATGAAGAGTCCATGAACACAGTGCTCATCCAGGAGGTCATCAGGTAATGTTAGGCTGAGGACTAACCACAGTCCAGACCACACGTCAGGTGTGCTTCATATAATAACACACACCACTCCGCTCTGTTGCTGTACACTTATGATCAGGTGCTGACACCGACACAGAGGGAAATTCAGATCTGCACAATCTTCCTCATTCTATCTGTCTGCCAAAAATGTAATCATAAGAAATGACTCTGGAAAAGCTGCAGATAGAGCCATAAGAAATGAATGCAACTGATTATTTAATGTTTAATGTTGTTTTTATAGGCAATAATTTAAGCTTTGTTAGTTCCAGGTTTAATATGTGCAATAAGTTTTGCAATAAACATTGAACCAGTCCGGCCCTCGACTAGTACCCATTTTTTAATTTTGGCCCACTGTGTATTTGAGTTTGACCCCCCTGGTCTACACAGTTTAACAGTCCCACTAGGATCAACTTGGACCACCCCCCCACTAAAAAAAATGAAACGTTGACTTAAATTATGTTCATTCAGAAGCAAAAATATTAAGTTAAACTAATTTGAACTTGATATTTTTGCTTTTAACTAACTTAATGCAATTATGTACAGTAGAACCTGTTGACAATATACATTTAATAAATGTCAATGTTTCCATTTTATAGTGCAAGAACTCATCTGATCAAATGAACATGTCCTTTACTATTCTTTTTAATATATTTATTAGATCAACAAGCAGGGTAATTCTTGCTATCGGTGCCACACTGAAATCATTTAAACAATATCTAGCTCATAAAAACCTCAGCCAAGAGCCCAGAACAGATACGTGTTTCTTCCCATACGTAAAGATATTTTACTTTTAAGGTAAAAATGATTAACTAAATGTGTAACCATAACTCTATTTGAGTCCAGTAGCAGCGGCTGAACAGTTCCAGTTACAGCCAGTAATCATAATCACAGAGTAGTGGTGACTTTCACTTTTCCTCTCCTCTCCTTAAGTGTTGTTTTCCTAGTGCTATAAACAAGGTCTGAACATGTTTTTATTACATTTTGTGTACAGTTTCCAACTTCTTAGGACTTATCAAGAAAATAGTCTTACTGTTGTCAACTCCATCGGTTGTTAGAAATTATAATTTTGCTACTTAGATGTGTAAGTATATCTGTCAGATGTATAAGCAGAATGTAATTTAAGTTATACCAGGGTGTAACAACAGGTTGAACATTATTTACAGGGTAAATTCCCATGATATTTATTTTACACTTTTACTCCCCCGTAAGACTTGTTTAAGAAGTGTTTATGTATTTGTCTTTGCATAACTCCATTTAATTAATAATTGTGATAATATTGTGGATGGATGACACGTGAATAACTGATTGGACTGAATCAGGTATGGCCAGTTTAAATCAGTTGTACTTTGATAACTAGTTATTTGTGTTTTTTCAGATACAACAATCTGCTGGCGGTCATCTCTCAGAGTCTCGGAGACATCGTGAAGGCTCTGAAAGGTTTGGTGGTGATGTCGTCTGAACTGGAGCTCATGGCCAGCAGCCTGTTCATCAACGTGGTGCCCGATATGTGGAAAGCCAAGGCAAGACACACACACAGGTTATTGACCTTCTTGATCTCACGTGGTTTGGATGGGATCTTTACGTTTTTATTAATTTCTTTTCATACATAATGAAATAGTTTTCGCCAATAATCTATTTTTTACAATAAAACATTACAAAAATAAAGACACAACAGAAACCCCCCCCCCCCCAAAGGAATGGCTCAAAGAGAGTCAACATCAAAAACATTTAAAGACATCACCTTTCAAAATCGTAAGCCAATCTATAGTTTTCTCAGACACACTTTCAATGGATGGGATGTTTTTATAAATTAAGCAATTCCGTAGACAATATGGATAACTTCAAAGATAAAGTCAAGATAGTCTTGAGTCAAGATAAAGGTGTTAGATGTTTTGAAGGTATTGCACGTGCACAGATTACAGCAATGGGCCTTTAACTGAAATAATATTACGACATCCATCTGTGTGTGTCGTACAGTTGGGGGTGACACTTGATCATGTGGGAGTGATTTCAGTGAACAGGGAAGGGCGGAATGAGCAACTCTCATGACTGTTCCGGGATCGGCCGGAAGAAGGAAGTGAAGTTGGAGACGCGTGGCAGAAAGTTCACAGAGAATCGGAAATTCGGATACATACAGAAACGGTAGCATTGGACTGTTATTTTGGCGGATTTGCATAAACTGTACATTGAGTGTTTCATCATGTCAACCAGCTCAGATGGTAGCCAAAGACACAATATGGAATGGATGATAGCCAAAGCTGCGAAGAAGAAAAGATCTTTGAGAGACAGAGATAGTTCAGTAAGAGCTCGAAGTTGGTCGGATTGGTCGGGTGAAGCAGACGAGGCTAAGCAAAACAAAAAATCAAGAGTCAGTCAAAATGACAGTCAAGCAATGTTGAATAAAGAAATAGAACACGAGTGGAAAGTGGTAATAGAATTCAATCAGGATGGTGGGCATTACCACCCGATTAAACTTACCAAAGCAATTGAAAAAGAGATTGGAAAAATTTAATTTGCTAAATTCATGAACAATAAGCGGGTATTGATACATGCCAATAACAAACAGCAGCAGGAAAAGATTCTGGGAATGAACTCACTGAATGGGGAGAAAATGAAGGCGCATGTTCCAGGAGCAATGGCGAAACTGAGAGGAGTAATCTCAGGAGTACCATTGGACATGTCAATGGAAGATGTGAAAAGTGAATTAAAAGGAGGCAAAATAGTGGAAGTCACAAGGCTTAAAAGCAAACGGGATGGTACACTCAAAGAAACATTATCAGTTCTCATTCAGTTTGAGAGAATCTTACCTAAGGCAGTACAAATGGGATATTTGAACTTCATGGTTAGGGAGTACATCCCCAAACCTCTCAGGTGCTACGCATGTCAACGAATGGGGCACACAGCGCAGCAGTGTAAAGGACAGCTAAGGTGTGCGAGATGCGGAGGAAAACATGAGTATGGAAAATGTGAAAAGGATGCAAAGGTTAAATGTTGTAACTGCGGAGGAGATCACAGTGCTGCGTTTGGAGGTTGTGAAGTGCAGAGAGAGGCCAGAGAGGTGCAGAGAGTTAAGATTACAAACAAAGTTTCATACGCAGAAGCAATAAAGAAAGTAAGGGGAACAGTAACAATCAATAAGAACCCTAGTGGAATGGAGCAGAGCATTACAATACAAAATGTCAGGAACACACCAAAAAGTAATCTTCAAATCCAACCCCACAGCGCCACCAAGAGTAAAGAGGATGATGATGTTTTAGGAGTGAAAAAGGTGAATTTTGTGGTATTTATATGCCATACTGTAAATGTTGCATTGCAGTTAAAAAAGAAAAGTGATAGAATCAAAGCCATTGTGGAGGCAGCTGGAAAATTCCTTGACATGAAAGATATTAAAGCAGATCAGATACATGCAATGCTAACTATAAATGGAGCTGGGGAAAATGAAAATCAGGATGAGGGTTAGATCCTTAATCATGGTGCTGCACATACTACAGTGGAACGCAAGAAGCCTCATAGCTAATGGTCAAGAATTCAAGAAATATATATATGATCTAGAGGTAGTCCCTGAGGTAATATGTGTGCAAGAAACCTGGTTACGACCTCAATTAGACTTTGTCATTCCAGGATTTAGCTGTATAAGGCATGATAGAGATAATAATCAAAATGGTGGAGGGTGTGCCACGTTTCTCAAAGATGGTGTGGCATATAGGGAGGTGCAATCTCCTGATGATATAGAGTGTATTATAGTGGAAATCTGCAACCCTAGGAAACAAGATAACATTAGGATAATCAATTTATACAACCCATGTAAAAATCTAACCACTGATATATTTAAAGAAATAGCAGGCAATAAACATAGGAAGGAAGTTTGGTGTGGTGATTTCAATGCACACAACAGTCTATGGGGCAGCAACCATACAGACAGTAACGGAAATATAGTGGAAGAAATGCTGGAGGAAAGAACACTAGTATGCCTTAATGATGGACATGGCACAAGAGTAGATGTACACAGGGGGAAAGTATCATGCCTGGATCTGACATTAGTGTCAAACTGTTTGGTTCATACATGCGAATGGTTTGTTTTGAATAAATCCACAGTAGGAAGTGACCATTATCCAGTGCTTACTAAAATGAATACTAATGTATATATACAGGAAGGAGGTGCAATAACCAGGTGGTGCTTTGCTAAAGCTGATTGGGGGAAATTTAGGATATGGTGTGAGGAGTCGGTACACCTGCTAACATCAGAGGGAAGCATAGAGGTCATTACAAGCCAAATAACGCAACATATTCTAAATGCAGCAGAGAACAGTATACCCAAAACAACAACCAAGGGTAGGAAGAAAGTGGTGCCATGGTGGAATGAGGAATGCAGCAGGGCTATTAAAGAGCGAAAATAATGCATTTAGAGAATTAAAGAAAAACATGACACAAAATAATGTTATAGAGTTTCAAAGGAAAAGGGCAGCTGCTCGAAGGACAATCAAATACACAAAAAAAAGAACATGGAGAGAATTTTGTTCTACCATTGGCAGAGGAGTAAAATTAGGTGATGTCTGGTCCATGTTTAAGCGGATGAGTGGGAAAAGGAAATCCATTAAAATTCCAGCTTTGGTTGATGGGGAGAGGCTGGCAGTGACAGATAAAGAGAAGGCAGACATGTTAGGAAGGACACTTGCAGCAGTACATAGCGGGGAACATCTCAGTGATATTCATAGGCAGCAAAAACAGCAGTTACTAGCAGAGAATGAAAACGTGAAGGAGAAGAGACAGGATAATAGGTCAGCTCTTGATGTGGAATTTACAATGTCAGAACTCAAAATAGCCTTACAAGGTACAGGTTATACAGCCCCAGGACAAGACCAGCTATGTTATGCTATGTTTAGACAGTTGCCTATGGAAACTATGACAATGGTGCTGAGTCTTTTCAATAAAATCTGGAGAGAAGGAGATATGCCAAGTTTGTGGAAAACAGCAGTCGTGCTACCATTCAATAAGCCAGGGAAAGATACAGCTAACCCTAGTAACTACAGACCAATAGCTCTTACATCACACCTATGTAAATGGATGGAAAAGATCATTGTCCGTAGGCTCTCACATGTACTGGAGCAGAAAGGGCTGCTGAGTAGTTTTCAGAGCGGATTTCGTAAAGGGCGGTCCACAATAGATGCTTTAGTAAGAGTGAGTAATGATGTGGAAAAAACATTGAAAATGAAAGAGATAATGGCAATAGTGTACTTTGACATTGAAAAGGCGTATGACTGTATGTGGAGGGATGGGTTACTGATCAAATTGAGTAGAATGGGTATTGGAGGGAGAATGTACAATTGGGTAAGGGCCTTTTTAACAGACAGGACATTTAGAGTAAAGGTTGGAGCAGATATTTCCAACTATTTTGAAATAGAAAATGGTATCCCCCAAGGGAGTGCAGTCAGTCCAATATTATTTAACATCATGATCAATGATATATTTACATGTTTAGACACATGCATTCAATCGGCTCTATACGCAGATGATGGGGCTATTTGGATGAGGGGAAGAAATGCCCCATACGTAATGGAGAATATAGCTAGAGCGATTAAAAAAGTGGAGAGGTGGTCGTATAACTGGGGATTCAAAATGTCAGAAAGCAAGTCATGCTACATGGTATTCACAAACAAACGCAAGATTGATGGCCAACAGCTAACACTATATGATCGTCCAATGACAAAGGTGAATGAGTTCAAATACCTAGGACTGTGGTTTGATAGCAAATATACATGGAAAATGCATATTAAACAAGTGGAAACAAAATGCAAAAAAGTATTAAATTTATTGCGAGCTGTAGCTGGATGCAACTGGGGCGCAGACAAACAAGCATTAATAGACATTTACAGATCAATTATGAGGTCCACAATAGACTATGGTTGTATAGTGTATGGAGCAGCAGCAAAAACATCGCTTTTAAAAATTGATAGAATACAATATAAAGCATTGCGGTTGTGTATTGGAGCGATAAAGTCATCCCCGATCAATGCAGTTCTGATAGAAGCAGGAGAGACACCTCTGGAGATCAGAAGAGAGAAACTTGCTCTGTCATACTGGGTCAGGCTACAAGGAAGTGGAGAAGGAAATATTTCAAACAGAATATTACAGGATTGCTGGGAATATGCAAAATTCCAGGGACGTGGGTTTGGCTGGACGAGTAAGGAGAGAACGAGGGCATATGGAGTGGACAATATCACGTTTGCTAAAGCAACCCCATTTAGCAGTGTTCCCCCATGGCTTTTCCCAGAAGCTAAAATAGATATGAGTATTGTAGAAAGGAAAAAAGAGTGGCAAGTAAATGAAGTGGGAATTAAAACAAGTATGTATCTGAATGAAAAGTATTACAATTGCCTACAAATGTACACAGATGGTTCTAAGAACAAGGAAGAGTGTGTTGGAATTGGTATATACATCCCAGAATTTAAAATATCTATTGCAAAAAGAGCGTCTGATCAATTATCAGTGTACACAGCAGAAATGCTGGCAGTAATAATAGGATTACAGTGGGTTGAAGAGGTCAGACCAGATAGGGTGGTGATGTGCACAGATTCATTGTCCATATTACAAAGCATACAATCAACAACTGCCAGAGAAGACATTCTCATAGAACTGTTAAGACTGCACAGAGGCGGCATAGATCTGCAGTTCTGCTGGGTGCCTGCACATGAGGGGGTGAAAGGGAACGAGTGTGCTGATAAATTAGCAAAAAGTGCACTACAAAAGGAAATAACATTACCAGTTCAACTTGGAGAAGGAAAAGCAGTAATTAAGAAGAAAGGGATGGAGATCTGGCAGAAAAGGTGGGAGAAAGACCAGAAAGGCAAAGAATATCACAAAGTACAAAAGACAATTACAATTCATATTTATAAAGAAAGAAACAGAAGGGAGGAAATCACGATCGCTAGACTCAGAATAAATCACACAGCATTGAATGGTACGCTGTATGTCATGGGGAAAAGTGACAGTGACAAGTGTGGGAACTGTGGAGTAAAAGAAGATGTAGAACATATCTTGATATATCGTGACATATATAAAGCGGAAAGAGAAAAACTAAAGGCTAAAGTTTTAGAGGCAGAGAGGGAATGGAGTGTGGTTGGTATTTTGGGAACAAAAGGAGAGGGAGTAAGAGCTACCAGAAAGGCACTGTTTACATTCTTGAGTGAAACTGGGGTAGGAAAAAGAATTTAACATTAGGTCAAGAAAGAACATAGATTTTTATTTTTGTTTTATTTATTTCATGTTTTGTTTTTTGTTGATTTATTTATTTATTTTGATTAGATCATAGGTTAAAGAGTTGGTATGATATGATGATTCATACTCATGTACAGTAGGTGGCGGTATGCACCTTTTAAGTTGTTTGCAATCCGCCAAAAAACGAAGAGAAGAAGAAGAAGAAGAAGAAGTGAACAGGGAATCTGATGAACTTCTGCTGACATTTCTGTCCTGCTCTAATAATTCCCGGCTCTGCTTTCCAAGAATACACATGGCGTTCTTTGACGGGCCATGTGTCTCCCTCCCTCCAGGCCTACCCGTCCCTGAAGCCTCTGGCATCCTGGGTGTCAGACCTGATTCTGAGGATCAATTTCCTGCAGAAATGGATCTGTGATGGCATTCCACCTGTTTTCTGGATTAGCGGCTTCTTCTTCCCGCAGGCTTTCCTCACAGGAACGCTCCAGAACTACGCCCGCCGCTCTGGCATCTCCATCGACACAATTGGATTTGACTTTGAGGTCAGACAGTGAGATGTTTGTCTGACAGTGCTTTTGCAACTATTTTTTCACTACTAGCTAAACTACAGCACTACATGTTTTCAGCAATAATATATCATTTATACAAACACACCAAATGCGGAAACAATACCCCCAACCTGTAGTTCCATGATTGGATTATGTAACCCCAGTGTATGAATCAGTGATCACTACACAAGCCCCCCCAGAATTCAACCATGGACACAATCCTCGCGTCCGGGAGGAAGCACCACAGGGGCCGAGGAGGGCGGGCCATGGAACGGGCCGTCGGAAGGGGGCCGCAGGAGAGGGTAGGGGCCCCAACGAAGGCGAGGGCATCCCCACCGGAGGGCGGAGGGCGGGTGGCGGGCCGGAACGGGCCGTCGTCAGGGGGCCGCAGAAAGCAGGGTCGCGTCGTGGGGACAGGCGCGAAACACCCGGAGGTCCCCAGCAGGGAGGAGCGCCGCCCGGCCGCTGGCGAAGGCACAGCGGCGGCGGGCACGAAGTCCTCGGGAGGAAGGAGCCGTGTCCCCGGGAGGAGGGAGCCGTGGACAGGGGAGAGGCCAGACGGGGCGCCGTCGAGGCGAACCGTGAGCCGCGGGTAGAGGTGAGGCCAGGCAGGGTCCCGAAGCGCGCCACCCACGGGCCGATGAAGGCATGGGCGACGTCCGGAACCGCCGAGGCGAGGGAAGAGGCGAGACGGGGTCCAGAAGCGCGCCACTGTGTGACGTCCGAAACCGCCGTCGAGGTGGTGAAAACAGCGAGAGGGTCCACACGAGGCCGACCAGACATGGTCGAACCTCCTCTCAGACACCAGAAAAAGCTCAAAAATGGTCGTCCCGTCCACGATCAAAAACAGGTGGGCGAAATAGCAAGAGGATCCACGCGAGGCCGACCAGACTTGATCGAACCTCCTCTCCGGCACAACAAAAAACAAAAAAAAAAAAAAAAACAGTCGGATGTCGATAGCCGCCGGTAGCTGCTAGACATCGTCAGCCGTTGCTAGCAGTCGTCGCTAGCCGCTGGTAGCAGCTAGCCGTCGTTAGCAGTTGAGGCTAGCCGCTCTCGACGGCCGGTAGTCGCTGTCGTCGTCGTCGGCCCCGGAGCCTCTGCTAGGCGGCGTGCCCCCACCAGGGAAGGTGCTGCAGCGTGCAGTGGCAAGCACCTCTGGGGTAAATCGCCGGGCGGCCAGGAAGAACCGGCAAGCTTCTTCGGCCAAAGCGTGGGGCTCAACACTAGCCGTGTTAGCTAGCGCAGCCTAGACATGCAGCCGCATGTCCCGAAGAAACAGCCCCACGAGGTAGAAGTCGGGTTCCTCCATACCTAGCAGGTCGTGCATCGTCTCCTCGTAGCAGGAAGGCTTGCCGCCCTCCAGCGCCGAGACGAAACGGGAATGGTGAGCGACGTTCCCAGCCATTCCGTGGGGCGCACCGAGCCTCAGTCCGTGCGCACGTGGCAGCAACGGACGTCTCCAAGAATCCCCGGCATTCCGAGAAAAGCTGCGCTTTCTGCCGTGTTCGATTTAGTCTCGGATCCTTCGCGAGACTTATGTCAGGGTCACCAATGTAGTGCCGAGAGAAGGGAGTCGGAAGCGGTGCATCGAAGGTGCAAATCTGTACTTTACTGAGCAGCAGAAATGTACATGCTGTCGTGTCGCAGCACGAGAACAGAAGAGAAAGTGAAAGGGGGAACACACAGTAGGTACACAGTAGGTACCGTCAACACATGTGTCCGTGCGGAAACAATACCCCCAACCTGTAGTTCCATGATTGGATTATGTAACCCCAGTGTATGAATCAGTGATCACTACACAGTAGAGGATAGACCCCACTCAGATCACTTTCAGCCCAGTTAGTACTTTAATCATAAAAGTTAAAGTTATGTAGCATAATTTAAACCCTATGAGCATTGTGTGTGTTTACCAAATCATTATCCTTGAAAATGATACTTGACATCAGTAGTGTAAAGTAATTAAGTACATTTAATCAAGTACTGTAATGTATCAATTTCAGTAACATAAACACTAAAGCGTCTTTGAGCACCTGACAGCGCTAACTAAATTAATCTATTATTATTATTATTACTCCCACCACATCTTAGAGGTAAATATGGAACTCAACCCTAACCCTCCACTTAATTTATTTAATACATATAGTTACTAGTCATTAGGCAGGTTTGGATTAATGAAATTAACTATATTAAACACATTAATACTGTAACTTTAGTTATAACTTCAGTAACTGGTCAGGATGGCTGGTTTAGCTGGTGGCTGGTTTCAGCCACCAGCTAAACCAGCCATCCTGACCAGCTAAAACAAACAGCATAGACCAGCATAGTATGCTGGTCACCAGCATCCATCTATCACCAGTTTATGTTTAATAATAGTAGTAAATATACCATGCTGGAAGCTTACCAGGATGCCAGGTGACCAGCATACATTGTTTAAATACTGGTATGATTATTTAAACCAGAGAACATAAATATATTACCAAGATTCATTGTGTCATGTATTCTGGTATCTACCAAAATAAAGACATTGTATAGTGTTCATAACAGTATTTTAATTTAATAAATAGCAATAAATAGCTAGTTAATATAATAAAATACACAGTAACAATACACTAATTATACAAATAACAACCAACCTGCAAATCAACATACATATATTATCTATAACAGGTGCATTCGATTTAAAATAAAAGTAATACTGTAAATAGAATTCAATATTTAAATGGTAACAAAAACAGTAACACTATGTATGATAAGAAAAAGGCAACAAAGAAAGTGTTTTTTGTTTTTCCTTGTTCATGTCCATAATGTTTCCCGTTGTGTAGCGTCCAGCCTTTCCCAATCTGGCCTGCACTTCTGTCTGCTGAAGCCACTTCTTGAAGCAAACTGAAAAGAAATGTACAGATATAAGTACACTGTAAAAAGAAAACTTGACATTTACGTTAACATTTGGGCTGCTGTGGTTGCCAGAACTTGACCGTTAAAGTATGGTAAAAGACATTACAAATTATAGTTGGTTGGCATAGACGTTACAGTCAACAATTACTTATGGTGAATTACAATGGCAAAAACCAATACAGCTAGTGTACACGGTGAAGCTGTATTATCTGGGAAATAGAAGAATCGGATCAGGATTCGATATTGGCAGACAATCAATATCAAATGAATCGGATCATTATTAGCATCAGCATTTGATCACCTGTGTCGACTTGCAGCCTAAATACAAAGATAACTCCACTCCTCTCCTACCACTCTTACCTCTAATAAGCCTTGGTAGAACTAGTGTCCGAGTCATGGGGTCCAGAACTGACTGAAGACATGTGGAACAGAGTCCCAGACAGGCATGGTTCCATGTACAGGGAACTGGAACTTTGAACAGGTGTTTTCATCTTTTCTGCCTGAAGATTCACAAGTTCTTGATCAGGTGTTTGATGTGGGCTGGCATGATCCTTTCTGCAGCGATGAATAAAGAAAACAAAGAAAACATTATTAATAATAGTAATGATGGTAACAACAATAATATTAGTATAACTATTTATATAGCACTTACACAATTGCAAAGTGATTCTCACAACAAAAATAAAAAACAAAACAATACCAACAATAAAAAAACAAATTATTATAGGAATGTTAAGAGACAAAGAAATGATAAACATTCTGAGAGGCTGACTACAAATGGCTCTTGATGACATCAATGAGCAGTCCCAATAGATGCTGTTGTATAACAAGAAATAGAATAGGTCCAGATGTCTTCTATTTTGTGTTGGATGATTTGTTTTATTGATTGCTGATGGATGTTAAGATGTGTTTTACAATTATAACAAAAAGATTATTGTAATTGGAATCAAAAAGATTGCAAATCATAGTTTTAATAAAATCAATAGCAATATAGGGTTTATTCAACAGCAGGAAAGCATTAAGTTGCTAAATTAACGTACACTGTTACGGCCCGTCCACACGGCGGCGTGCGTTGAAGCTTCAACGCTTCTTCCCATTCACTTTGAATGGGGTGACGTCACGCTTTGCCGAACTGCATTGTGGTTCCGTCGCTTCGCTTTGCTCGCGTTGCTCGCTTCAAAAGTTGAGAAAAGTTCACATTTTGAAGCTTCGACGGAAGCGTCAGCCAATCAAATCATATGCCAGTACAAGCTCTAGCCAATCAAACCGCGTGCTTGTGTGTCCGGAGCGGGAGATTCATGTGATTGGTTGTTGGTCGAGTTTCAGACACGCCCACCGGCAAGCTTCAACGCACGCCGCCGTGTGGACGCTGCGTTAGTGCCAGTCAAAACCATGTTTTATACCGCTTTGTTTCAACCACTGCCGTCTCGCCGTTCCCCTGTGTCCCGCCCTCTCTGTCTGTCTGTGTCTGTCTCAGTTTCGCCAGTAAGACTGCTGGTAGACCAGCATAAATACCAGCTTCACCAGCATAGACCAGCTTAACTACCAGCTAAAACCAGCATAGCCCAGCATCCATCTTAAGCTGGTCTATGCTGTTTTTTTCAGCAGGGTTTTTAACGTGCAAACTAGTCAGTCAGTTTGGATTAACATCCAGAGCATTTAAAGTATTAACTTTTTTGTTATCTGTTGTGATTTAGACCAAGAACTGACAATACACGGATAAATTATTAGTGTTGTATTTTTATTCTACAAATGTAATTGTGTCCTATGTTATTAGTGTCAGCTTGATACGGAAGCATTATTTGGTGTCATTATGTGGTTATGTGTTTAGGATCGTAGAGTTGAAAAGGGGCTTTACTGTGTAGCAAGGATTTAAACACGTTGACCCTTAGTGAGGTCAGGTTTCTATCACATGAACACTGGACTCAAACTTAAACTGAAGCTTGTCATCGTGACAAACAAAACGTCTTTGAATAGTCTACCAGTGACAGTGCACTGACCTACTCTAATACTGCTTGTGTTTATATTTTGAATGACAGGTATACAAGGCTCTGCATATCTACCTGCTCATCGTATGGGGTTGACATGTAGTGTACATGTGGTGTACTTACTCTACATGTGGACAGGCTGAATGTGATTTGTGGGATCTCAGCCTATCACTGGATCAGATGCAGGTTAAGGGCACACAGTCCCCCAGCCATATGCCATGATATGTTTGGCTGCTTCACAGGGATTTTGACTTTGACACCATGTTCAGGGAGCATGTGGAAACTTGGGCATGCCTTCGTACACGGGTAGAGGCACACAAGCAGGGGTCGTCAGGCTGTCACCACTGGGGCACAGACTCCGACAGATTTATTGGCTTACAGTAATCCATCTAGATCTGAGCTGTCAAAGCAGGCAGCAGCAGAGCGGCAGGCTGGGGGATGAGAAAGAGAAACAGAGGATGTGAAAATGAGTGAAGGAAATAGCCAAAGTAAATGGGAACTCAAAAAATGTATAAATGCAAAGAGGAATAGAGTACTTGATGTCATTTTCGTTGACCTGACACCTTAAAGGCGCCCTATTATGCTTGTTCCTTTTCCTGTTGTGTGTTATATAGGTTTTCTGTGCATGTAAATGGTCTGCAAAGGCTAACATCCCAAAGTTCACGTCAGAGGGAGTTTCTCTCCAACACACCCGCTTAAATTAACAAAAAGTCTTCCAAATATAGATTATTTCACAAGTTTAAAGACTACTTCTACAGCACCATGTCAGGCCGAGAGGTTCAGAAATGAGAGCAGAGGATGAAAAAGTGTGCCAAATTTTTTCTTTTTGCTACTTGCTAACTTTAATCTGATAGTTATTTATTTTTTATGTCAGATAATGCTGCATCGATAAGTTAACTAAACGATTTTTAATGCAAACATTTCAGAAAATGTTGTTTCCAAACTCTCAAATATGGAGATTACCTGCATTCCTTTTAAATATCATATTTTACTGAATGTCTTTGGATTGTGGACTGATAACACAAGACATTTAAAGCCATCAGAACTTTGAGAAACTGGGATGGAGATCTTTAATGATAAATGTATCATCATAAATAACTGTTAGTTGTTGGAGAGAGAGTTGTAGTAGAACATTTTGGTTTGCTATTACGAGAACGTGTGGGTTAATCTGCGAAAAGGCTTTTGTCCGCGGAGTCATATTGACTGAAACCTGGTGGCGGACAGACTTCAGCTCCCACCAGAGAAAGCTAACAGCAGGCCAGGGGGACCCCGGCTTAGAGAGTGCACCATACACCCACCAACACTCTGTGTGTCTGAAAACTGATGTGGGTTTATTTACAAAAACAAATGTGGATAAAAACATGGGAAGTTCTGCTCTGATTCCACAGTTTTCCACTTAAATATTTGTATTTGCTTTATAAATAAATACAGACGCCAAATATTTATTTCAACGAGATACTGCCATCTCCATAATTCACCACAGTTTTCATGATGTTTGAATCGTGATATACATTCAAAGCTAAAGCTGTTGCGTTAGTATCAACATGTGTATGTCTCTCAGCTAAATAAATGGCATTTTAAAGTCATTAACTAAACCAGGGGTCTGCAACCTTTTTGACCAAAAGAGCCATTTTACCCCCTTTTCCAACTCAATTCAAAACCTTTATTTATCCAGGTGAAATCCCATTGAGATCAATGATCTCTTTTTCAAGGGAGACCTGCAGCAGTAGGTTCCACATGAAGACATAAAAACATAAACAACAGAACAACAAAAGGACATCATACAGCAACAATTACAGGGATTACAATTTACATATCTATCCACATGTACAGGTACCAACAGCATCTGATTGTGTAGCATCCAACCGAGCTTTAAAAACATGTAGTGGTACCAGATTGGTCATTTTCCATTCTTTTTGCAGACTGTTCCAAGTTAGTGGAGCTGCACATCTAAAAGCTTTCTTCCCTAAGACAGTCCTAGCACTTGGCACATTTAATAAAACCACAGCATGCGATCTCAGGCAATAACTACTTTCAATTCGCAGAGAGATCAGGGAGCAGATATAAGATGGTAGTTTATCCAACATGGCTTTGTAAATGAACGTGTACCAGTGACTGAGCCTCCGTACAGTAAGTGATGGCAAAACCGCCTTGGTTACAGTCAGTGTACAGTGATGTGTAAGTGCTTTACAGTTTGTCACAAATCTCAGTGCACTGTGATACGCAGCATCTAACTTGCTCAGGTAATTGGCAGGTGCATTCATATATAACAAATCACCATAGTCCAGCACAGGTCAAAAGGTCACAGAGCCTTTTCCTGGCCTCAAGCGAGAAACAGGACTTATTTCTGTAAAAGAAACCTAGCCCAACCCTCAGCTTTTTAAGCAGGTTATTGACATGAAATGTAAAAGTGAGACAGTCATCAAGCCAGATACCCAGGTATTATAGATATATACTATTTGTTTTGTCTGGAGCCGCAAAACATATTTGATAGCTTATAAAGTTGTATTTATTGTTATATCACAGACACAAACTACAGTTTTTTTGCATTTATTATGTATTACATTATAAAACTGTTAACCTCTAATAAGAACAAAGAACTCTTATAAGGAGAATTAAAAAAACAATACACAGGCCTACTTTCAAATGAATCAACACAGCACTTGGGGAGTCCTCTGCACATTTGAAGGAAACGAAATACAATTAAAATGTACCCACTTTGAAATAAATAAAACCTATAGCTGCACCCTAAAAATAGTTAACTGATTGAATTATGATGAAGATCGTCAGCTGTCTTCCTCTTCCGTGTTTCTCCTCGATACGTAAAGGCTGCAGCACCTTTGACAACTTCTCTCCACATATCAAACATCCCGGTAAGCATCGTTTGCTGTGAAAGCAGATAACTCTAACCACGCAGAATTAAATCCTGTGTTCCTCCGATACTTTTATTTTCTTTGATTTATCCATAGTTCGCTCATCCTAATTTGTTCCTTAATGACCCCATGATGTGATTATGTATATCTTAAAACCTTTAACAACTATATTTAGATGTTCACAAATATCTACATTTATGTATAAAATACATGTGTAGCAGTTAGACAAACATAATCAATAGATTATCTCATTAATACCTATTTTATATATTAAAAAAAAGTTTACTAAACCACCGTTTGTTGACAAAATGATTTGGGTTGAAAGTTATACTGTTGTGTCTCAAACGGATAGACTAGGTTATTAATTTATTTGCCTAATAGTTGCTTAAAATGCTACAATAACATTTGCAATTCGTTTTTAATCTGCCATGTACGATCTCAATAATAATAAGTGTCGTCAATTCGCTTTTAATCTGCCATGTACGGTAATGTCTCTCAGCCACCGTAGTGTCGTGTAGTGGGCGTGTCGTGTAGTGTCGTGTACTGGCCGCGGCCGCAGCTAGACCATATTGCTAATTTCAGCTGCAGAAACCATTCAACTATTAACTTATTCAGCTATTTCAGGACAATGAGGCTATCAATGTTGTTTTTTAAACCTTTTCTTTTAAATATTAAGCTTCTTCACTATTTTTCCTACTCTGCAATGCATTTGAGCTGTAACAATTTTGATTCAATCAGCCTTTTCAACACATGATGGGAAACTTTCAACTTTTTCTAAATATGTTATACTTTTTTAAATGTTCAGCTTTTTAAAGTCTTTTTTTAACATGGAAGTCATTGCAATGCATTTGAGCTGTAACAATTTGATTCAAATCATTTCACTTTTCTGCATTTCTCTGCTAAGTTCAGCAACACACTGACTTGGTCTCTGTAGTTAAAAGCAGCTACCATTCAGCTAATAACATATTCAGCTTTTTCTGCATTTTCAGCTAAATTCAGCCACAAATGTTCACAGTTTACAGCATTCGCACGCATTTTCTGCAGGAAATGCATTTTCTAGTTGTATATAGTTGAACAAACGTTACATTTTCTCTGCTAATAATAACAAGACAAAAAGATCCAACTATAATTTTATATGTTATTATGGATTGAACATGAACCAAAGTGCTTGTATTGGCAGATGATCCTGTGCCACTGTGAAATAATGAGTTATAATGGAAACAATTACAAATTGTTTTATTGATCCAGTATTGCTATGATGGCACTCTCTGCACGGTGGAGGAGTTGGGAGTCATTCTTCAGAAGCAGCTCCTTTAAGCAGCTCATTTATTATGAGGGTCAGACCAACGTTCTTCTGCGGGGGGGCGACGAGTCATGTGAATACAACTATAGACTAGGATTGTTCCAAGATTTTAAATCTGTTGCATGTCTTACCTTCTGGATCTTGTCATAGGCCTGATCATGCTGCCTACCAGATCTGGCCAGTCTGGTCTTGAGCCCGTTGACCATTTTCTCCATATGCTCACGCTGCCGACAGAAAGCCCTATAAAATTCTCCTTCAACGTCACTTTGCTCCACCTAGAAAACAACACAAGCAGACTCCCAATGAGACTGGGACCGAATTTAACCCCTGCACTCTTTAGGAGCCCCTATTCTGCTGATGTTCAGGTGTATATCAGTATGTAGTGTCTCTACTTTAAAGAGTCCTCTCCTGCTGATGTTCAGGTGTATATCAGTATGTAGTGTCTCTACTTTAAAGAGTCCTCTCCTGCTGATGTTCAGGTGTATATCAGTATGTAATGTCTCTACTTTAAAGAGTCCTCTCCTGCTGATGTTCAGGTGTATATCAGTATGTAGTGTCTCTACTTTAAAGAGTCCTCTCCTGCTGATGTTCAGGTGTATATCAGTATGTAGTGTCTCTACTTTAAAGAGTCCTCTCCTGCTGATGTTCAGGTGTATATCAGTATGTAGTGTCTCTACTTTAAAGAGTCCTCTCCTGCTGATGTTCAGGTGTATATCAGTATGTAATGTCTCTACTTTAAAGAGTCCTCTCCTGCTGATGTTCAGGTGTATATCAGTATGTAATGTCTCTACTTTAAAGAGTCCTCTCCTGCTGATGTTCAGGTGTATATCAGTATGTAGTGTCTCTACTTTAAAGAGTCCTCTCCTGCTGATGTTCAGGTGTATATCAGTATGTAGTGTCTCTACTTTAAAGAGTCCTCTCCTGCTGATGTTCAGGTGTATATCAGTATGTAATGTCTCTACTTTAAAGAGTCCTCTCCTGCTGATGTTCAGGTGTATATCAGTATGTAATGTCTCTACTTTAAAGAGTCCTCTCCTGCTGATGTTCAGGTGTATATCAGTATGTAATGTCTCTACTTTAAAGAGTTCTCTCTGAACCTTCACCCCGTCAGCAACATATCGGGCGTAGATCTTCATGATGCTCTCCTTAAGTTTTTTGGGCTCCTGGATTAAGCCCACACAGTTCTGGAGGTCTGCCTTTAGCCGCTGGAGATGTGTCTCCCGGTCTTTCAGCTGGACGCACAAAACATTTAGGATATTTCATTTTTTAACCACATCTTTCTTTTGGGAATGTGTAACTGTAAAGAGTTATTGGGGTCTTTAATAATTTCTACACTGGAAACAAAGCGGTGCATAAATTAGTTTTAAAGTTAAAGGAAAACTTCGAGCCAAAATGATCGGTTTGATTTCAACTTCTCCTGGCATTTAGTTATATAAATGAACAAAATGTTTCATCAGTTAGACAAATAAAGTGAGTATCTTCTTTAATGAAGACCATTTTGTGTTACTGTCCATCCCCTTCTGCTTAGCAGCGAATCAAATGAAACTATCATCATCAGGGATGCAAACTTGTCACCTTTCGGCAAAATTCGCCGTTTTGAATCCAAAATAGGTCGTTTGTGTGATTGAATATTTTGGGACCCGGAGTAATCTGCGGCCGCGAGCTGTTATGTGCCATCATGACACGCATGGTGTTCTTTTTTTTTATATTATAATGAAGCGCGAGCTGTGTGCTCGAGTCTTCCTGCCTGTCGGCTCTGCTCATGGATGTATAATAAGGCTCTGCTGCTCCGGGATGAGGGTCTAGCTTCAGCAGCTACATTACCTACGGTGCGTTCGTTAATATTAACTGTGCGGTCCGGAGTCACTGTGGCACAGACTGGACCGCTGGTGAACAGCTGTTAGAACGGGCCGTTCAGGTGTTCAGAGCAGAGCTCCCTGTCGGAGCGGCAGAGCGTGATGTGCACTGAAAAGTTTTTCTGTCACAATATTATTTAATGAATCGTTGAGCTCGCTAACTAGCATACATTGTCACTATCTGCTAACGTTAGCTTTAGCCTTCGTTTTCAAATAGTTTTTTTCATAGGCTATAAACGGAGGTGGTATAAGTATATATCTTGTACTTGAGTAAAAGTAGAAGCACTCAGATCTTGTACTAGAGTAAAAGTAGAAGTACTCAGATCTTGTACTTGAGTAAAAGTAGAAGTACTCAGGTCTTGTACTTGAGTAAAAGTAGAAGTACCAGAGTGTAGGAATACTCTGTTACAGTAAAAGTCCTGCATTCAAAATGTTCCCCAAGTAAAAGTAGAAAAGTATTCTCATCAAAATATAGTTAAAGTAGCGACAGTAAAAGTAGTCTTTGTGCAGATTGGTCCATTTCAGAATAATATATATGATATGTTTTATAATGATTGATCATGAAAGTGTTCTCAAAGCTGGTAAAGGTGCAGCTAGTTTGAATGACTTTGTATACTTGTGAATAGCTTGTGAATTTACTCCAGGTGGAACTAAAGTCTGATTTAACACTTGATTAGATTTCACATCATTCATCCACATCTGTAAAGTAACTAAAGGTATTAAATACATGTAGTGGAGGAAAAGTACACCATTTACCTCTGAACTGTAGAGGAGTAGAAGAACAAAGTAGCAAAACCGGAGGAGCCAGGCATGGAGGGAGGTGGCAGAGACAGTGGTAGTTTTTCTCCTGTTTGGAGAGTTTATATCCAGTTTACTTCGGGCTTTTTTGCTTCGTATGTCGGGGGCGGGAGATTCATGTGATTGGTTGTTGGTGCCTTGCTCGCAAAAATCCCCAAGCTTCAGATACGCCCACCTCCAAGATTTTTTTAACGCTGCTGTGTGGACGGGCCGTAAGACCCTCTTCTTTCGGCAGGCCTTCCAATAAACTTTGAGCATGGTACACCTGGAGTATTGCCATTTTTATCGCTATCTCCGACTTTTATTTTATTTATTTATTTTTATTTTATTTTATATTTAATTTTTATTTAATTTTGTTTTAATTTTGTTTACATTTTTAATTTGTATTATTATTATTATTCGTTTAATGTCTCAAATTGTATCAGTGTCCTTTGCTGTGAAGCGCTTCGAGATTTGTCTTGGCAGATGACAAGCGCTATATAAATTAAATTAATTATTAATTTATTTATTATTAAGTATCTCAAAATTGTACCCAAGTATAGTACTTGAGTTTATGAACTTACTTTACACCACTGGCTATAAAGATAGAAAGACTAAGCCTTGCACAGAGGCATGAAAATACATTTTCAAAATGCTCAACAGTGCTGCCAAAATTATAAACTGACTGCTACACAATTAAAATAAATGCTTTTATACATTTCTATTAGATGTGACTATTTGGCGTTTCTGTTATTAACTGCTTTAGTTGTTCTGACTGCTAAAATCCTCTGTTATTCCTAATTTTAACCTCTATAGTGTTTGAAAGTGTTTCTCACCTTCTGCGCCATCTTGTGCATCTCCTTGTTTCCATTCCTCACTTTGAGCCTCAGCTCGGAGACGCTGAGCTTCAGCTGAGTGTTGCTGTGACCGACCTTAACCAGCTCCTTCTGAAGCTGAAACACAAGAAACATCTCATCACTGAAACCATGCAGGCAGAGAGAAGCAGATTCTCTGAGACTCAGTGTCTTTGTTACCCACTACCAGAGATGGCAAAAGTACACACATCCTTTACTCAAGTAGAAGTACAGATACTCGTGTTTAAAATACTCTGGTAAAAGTAGAAGTACTGACTAAACTTCTTAAAGTAAAAGTAAAGAAGTATGGGCTTTGAAATGTACTTCAGTAAAAAGTACCCATAACTACCATCTGTTTTAAAGAGTACCTGACCTCCCTTTATATTAATAGAACAATAATGTCATTGTTAGCTAATGAATGTTTCCATGCTGAACAACGGCAACATGACAACATTTTCATTGGTCCCTCTTCTTTAGAGAAGACCAGGAAATGATGGATACACGGATCGTGTTCAAATCAATAGGCACGCAATGACTCTAAATAATAATGATCACGCCACCAAACACACATTCAAACTAAAGGAACCAGCCTGTTTGGAAAATGTAAGAAGTAGAAAGTACAGGTATTTGTGTTCAAAATGTGAGAAGTAGAAAGTACAGGTATTTGTGTTCAAAATGTAAGAAGTAGAAAGTACAGGTATTTGGGTTAAAAATGTGAGAAGTAGAAAGTACAGGTATTTGTGTTCAAAATGTAAGAAGTAGAAAGTACAGGTATTTGGGTTAAAAATGTGAGAAGTAGAAAGTACAGGTATTTGTGTTCAAAATGTAAGAAGTAGAAAGTACAGGTATTTGTGTTCAAAATGTAAGAAGTAGAAAGTACAGGTATTTGTGTTCAAAATGTAAGAAGTAGAAAGTACAGGTATTTGGGTTAAAAATGTCAGAAGTAGAAAGTACAGGTATTTGTGTTCAAAATGTAAGAAGTAGAAAGTACAGGTATTTGGGTTAAAAATGTCAGAAGTAGAAAGTTCAGGTATTTGTGTTCAAAATGTAAGAAGTAGAAAGTACAGGTATTTGTGTTCAACATAAAAGTAAAAAGTTGAGTAAAGTACTGATACCAGAAAAATGTACTTAAGTACAGTAACAAAGTATTTGTACTCCACTACTTCCCACCTCTGTTTACTACAAGTTACTTTAAAGGTCACATAGCTCATGCTATTTTTAGGCAATAGTCTCAGATGTATAAAAATATATAAAAAACATGTCTATGAAGTGTTTTGCTCAAAATACCAAACCGATCACCCATTCTAGCCATGCCTCATATCCCTCTATTTCACTTCCTGTTTCAAAAGTGCTGATTTGGGTATAAAGCTTTAACAAATAAAAATAAATTGATACAAAATAAAAAAGGAGGGGTCTGAGCTCATGCGGGACCCGGCAGCTACTGTCTAAACTAAATGCTGCCGTGATGAAACGCCATATCATGGATTATCAAGGATTATTTCTGAAACAGTATGGAGCTCAAAGGCTTTCTCTCTTGCCGGTTATACCACAAGGTGAGTTCCTTTTTATTTCCTGCTTCTTCACACACATGCTCTCCAGTACAGGTTAGCTCTGAGTGTTAGCGATGCTAATGTAAACACCGACCATATTACGTCCAAAACAGTCGGGCATTGTTTCTGATAGCAACGTTTCTCATAGGGCCGTGGGTGTAAAGCTAGCCTACATTTCCGATATGACGTTATATCGGACGCAAATCTGGATCAGCTCCGTTGTAGCCCCGTTTTTAGAGATTTGGGTATGGAGGAAAAGAGAGGGTTTTATTTTCTGACGCTGCGTGAGTTCCCCGACACACCGGGGACACATATTTATGTCTAAAAGACATCAAAAAGTGCATTTAGCATGATAGGAGACCTTTAACTTTAAGCTCCTGGTCACTAACGTTTGGACAATGACTGTTTTAGTTTTTAGAAAACGTTCTCCTGTCCTGTTGGGGGGAAGGAGTTTTAGGGGAGGACTCACTCACTTAAAATGAAAAATTGCTTATATTCTCATTATCTACATACAGACATTGTCAATACAGGGTTTGTATCGTTTAAGGCAAATTAGATTTAGGACTTGTTTTTAAATCAATATTCTGCGCACACTCGCTATCCGGGTTTTTAGCATTTATCAAATACATTTTTTTTTAAAAGGAATTACTCAGTATTTTGAGCTGCTACTTTAGATTAAAAATATTAATTTCATTTAACATGTATTCAAGACAAATTATGACCAATTAAGGTAATATTCTCCCCACTGACCAAAAACCTTACATTTTGCATTAATTGGAAGCCTTTAGTCTAATTCCTTTACTTTTTTCAGGGTCTTATGTTTATACTTTCTTTGTGATTCATACAGTAAATCTTTTTGTTTGTCTATTTATGTATTTCTGCCAGTCTCTCTAACGGTACGTCCACACGGCAGCATGTGTTGAAGCTTGCCGGTGGGCGTATCTGGCTCGCGACCAACAATCAATCACATTAATCTCCCGCCCCGGACATTGTAAAAAATTGTATTTATTTGTATATCAAAACCAATGCTGGATTTGAATGTTAAGTCTAAAGCCACCTTGTTCTGGCTGGTCTCGTATCCAGAGACGGTCCTCTCCAGATCCTTGTTGTTGCTCTCCAGCGAGCGGATCTCATCCAGAAGCCTCTGCCGATCCTGCTTCGGGTCTTTGATCTCATCGATCTGTCTCTGCAGACACAGTCACACAATCACATGTTATTTGCGTCAAATGTTTGACTTTCATTGTCAACTATGTTGCACCTCATTTTTTCAAATTTAAAATATCTAAAATAGTGCTTCTGATATCCTTTATAGTATAATGTATAATAACACAGGTTGGAGTTTTACATGACATCTCTTAAAACTATCAAATGACCTGTATGGTAGTTTTATAATACAAAATATCCCTAAACTTAATGACAGTGCTGAACATATCACATGAAAAAACAAAACTTTAATACAATTATTTTTTAAACTTTAAAAAATCTTTGGATATATGGTAGAATGGACTCAAGAGCCTTTCAAATTTGATTTTACTTGAAGTGCAGGACTTAATCAAATGATTGTAATGACATCAAGTTTGTCCGTAACATAGTTGACAAACTGAGTAGTGAAAACATCCTTTCCCTTAAAATAAAATAAAATAAAAAAATGTTTAAGCTTTGCAACCAGTGGATATGTTACACTGAGGAATATACTAACTTGAACCACTGATTGTTCTATTGAGAAAGAACACTTTCTTTGTACTGTTTTGTTGATGTGAAATGCACCCTAAATTATAGAATCACTCACACAGTAATAACAGTAAACGGGCGTTACCTTGTGAACAGAGATAAGATCGCTCTTAGCCTCGTGTTTGGCCTCCTTTCCGGTCAACATGTTGTCAGTCATTTTTGTAGCGTTTACCGTTTAGTTCCGAGAAAATACAGAAAATGCAGTAACGCTTTTTCAAATGATACAAAATTCGCGCCTGACAACCAGTGTTGCCAACTCCACGAGAAGGGTCTAGCTGCGGCCGCGGCCAGTACACGACACTACACGACATGCCCGGAGAATGAATCAAAGTCATTATAAAACCCTGACCAAGCAGCAACATGTTTGATATTCATGTTCTCAGGATGAAGTGTAATAAGTGGTGATCCCTCTCTGTGACTTTACGTCAGTTTAAAGGGGCCCTATTATGCTTTTTGGGGATTTGGGTTTTATAAACTGCTTTTCTATGGGCATAGATATGTCTCATAATTATTTGTGTGAACAGAAAAATAATTTGTGTGTAAATATGTGATTTGTAAATGTAAAACACCATCCACAAATGCATTTAAAAGATTTGCAAACTCACAAATAAATTTGCAAATGTAAAACAGATCTGCAAATAGACTAAATATTTTCACAAATAAAAAAAAGATCTGTGAATATCTCTTTAACATTGACAACTTTCAATCAGGCATTTGTGAATTATGCACCCCCATCATGAAATGCCCCCCTTGTCACGGGAACGCGCATTTCTAAATGACACGTTTACACCTTAAAACGATGTTTAAAACGAAAAGTAAACGTTCAGGGTTTTTATTAATGGTAATTTTCAGACTGTGAGTTGTTTAGTGGTAGCTCATATAGTCTTGATTCTTGTGGTTAAACTTTTCGCTCCGTATTTGATGGTAGTGGTGTCGAAATTCATTCGTCACTTCCTTTTCAGTTTTTTTTTTTTTAATCTTTTTTTTTTCTTATTATTGTTACGTCCTGTCTGTATACACGTGCTTTAAAATGTATTGTTTCATTTTACATATTTGTCATATAATAATCAAAATATATGTTTACAAATGTTACATAGTCTTTGTCAGCATATTTTTGCCACGTTATGCACCCCTTGCTATCTTACATAATAAAAGTGTCACATTCATGAAACTTGCTCCATTCATTGGTACTAGTCCTACAACCATACCCTGAAAAATGCTTGAGGGTGGGATTAATACAAACATCTTTTTGGGTGGGGTGCATTCTATGACAGGCCTGGTTATCACAATATGCCCCCCCTTGCTATCTTACAAAATAAAAGTGTCACATTCATGAAACTTGCTCCATTCATTGGTACTAGTCCTACAACAAGCTAGTTTTCGATTTTTTTATATAATCATTCTGACCTCAGAAAACTACAAAGCTTTCATTTCATGATGAGGGCGTAATGCGGAGGGATTTTTGCCGACGCTCATATTTTCAGTGTTTCCGTTTCCTCTGTAGTATTTATTGGGTTGTTATATTCAGATATGAATAATAGAAACTAGAACTAAATGTTCCGTGTGTGTCCTCACTGCTTGTTCACACACACAATAAGAATCCTTACCGGAGCTTCTGCTGTTTACACCGCTGCGTCCGTGCCGTGCGCTGTGACTCTCATGCGCTCTCTACATTTAATTCATATTTCAAATGTTCATTTTTAAAGTTTTATTTTATATTTGATGTGAAGCACAACGTACCATGCTGTTATAATAACGCTCTTTATCAGCCTTTGAAACTGAAACCATTTTGGAAAAAAAAAAAGAATAAAAAAAAAAAACCCTAACCCATACATATATATATTTATAATCATAATGTATCATAAACGTGCGACAATTAGTCGACTAATCGCCTTAATTGACGACTAGAAAAATCTTTAGTCGAGGGCAGCCCTACTGAGGAGTACCTGTCTCATAAACACAGGTAGTTAGTAAGAAAACATTTGAATGGAACTTTATCTGTGAGGCTGTTGCCATTAGCCGCGTTCACACCAAGTACTTTGCCGTACTTAGTGCCGGCACTCAGTGCCCCGGCACTAATTACCCCAGGGCACTTAGTACAGATCGCGTTCACACCGGAATAAGTTCCCTGAGGGAAGATTATGCAAATGAGCTGCTGACGTCACTTCGTCTTCTTCTGCTTTGGGTTTACTGGCAGGCCGCAAACCACTTCACGGTGTATACTGCCACCCGGAGTCCCCGGCCGGAAGTCCCCGGAGTTGGGGACTGGCTTCAGTAGAAGCTGCTGGGACTCCCAGCAGCTTCTACTGAAGCCTTCTGAGTAAATCGCCAGAACGCCGACACCTCCTCATCTCCACCGCTCCCATGTTTTATTTTGTGTTGCCATAAGTTAGTCTCTCTGCGTTTGTGCGCTGGGCGAATGCTAATGCTAATAATGCTAATGCGAGGATAATAAAATGGCGGCTCTACAAAACATTTCAGAGTTTTACGGGGCGTGGTTTGCAATTCGCCCAGCCAATCAGAACTGGGGCACTTTTTTCCCCCAGGAAAGTACCATCTCTCAGCAGGCACTAAACATGGGGGTAAAAGTTCCCGGCTTGAAGTACTCTTTTTGGTGTGAACGCGACATAAGGGGTACTAACAGAACTAAACGCGAAAAGTACGGGGAAAAGTACTCCGGTGTGAACGCGGCTATTGAATATTAGATTTTAGTTGAAATATATTTTTTAAGTCACAGTGTTCGTCACAGGTCACATTGTTATTTCATCTGTTTGTTTATGACAGTGAAGAAGGCTTGCATGTGATGTAATGAAACCTCCGGGATGATGAGCTGTGACAAACACCCACACTAACTAAATCCTCTGAGTTAAACCACTGTGTTCATATTGAAAGCGTATCAAGACTTTCTGTCCTCTTTGAACACGTGTCACTGTGCAGTTAGATGTGGGCAAGCCGATCAATAATCAATTAAAACCTGTGATTCGGCCCATCACAGCTACACTTCACATGATGCTCATGGGAACATTTTTGGACCTTGTGGGAAGTTTGTGAATGAAAATAGTTTGCATGAGGTGATCTCATTGTTTCTAATCTCAGCCTACCTTGAGTAAAGGATGCAGAGGACAAAGATGGCGAGCCCCACGATGCTCTGGGCATCCCACCACGGCAGGTAGGGGGACGTAAGGACGGGCTCCTCTGTGTCCGGGCCCAGGATCAGCACCGCCGTCTGGTTCTCCATCTCCAGAGGGGCCAGGGTGGGCACTGCTATCTGCTGGAAGAGGCTCAGCAGGCTGGGGTTACACTCTCGATCTGAGGGGGGGGGGGGGGGGATTAAAGAAGCACGGGGGGTTTAAGTAGAAAGGGGGACAGTTATTGCTTGTTATTTTCAGACGTGTTGTTGCCTCTCATATGCCTTAAAAACACGTTCTTTGGAAAAACAGACATGAGACATGAGATCCTTGAAAGTAGCGTGAACATTTGACTTAGACCATATTAAATCAATAGTAATGCTTTGTGTGTGAATACTTTTGCACATTCTATGGAGGAATTAAACATGTTGCTCTGCTGCAGGCACAACATAAATCATGCTTTTTGAACAAAACCACAAAAGCATATCAAACGAAAGGTATAAGTCAAAGTCTTATGACGTAGAAAGAGGCTATTTCTTTCAAAAGAACACCAGAGACAGAAACACCGTCCGGTTCCTTGGTTGTAGCGAATGGATTCCTATTGTTTCTGCTCATTCCTAACTGAATCAATGTTTACAGCAGTAATTCACGCATGCAGCAGACATCCTCACCAGGTTCATTAGTCATGGCGGACCAGGTGAGATACATGGTGTACAGGGTGATGATGGAGGACTGCAGGAGACCTGAACGGGTCTGCGACTCCTGAGGATACACACAGATCAAATAGGCAGACAATGAAACATAAATAACATGAAATACTCCATGATAACTGGGCCAACTTCATTCACTCTTATGTTGTTAGTTTAGTTATTTATTTTCTTTTTAAAGCAGCTGGAATTCCATTTGAAAATGAGGTTCAGATTGGATGCAGTAATTAAGGACATCTTTAGAAGTTGAATAGCAAGTCAGCTTAATTTGAACTACACCTTTATTTAGTTGTTGTGGTGGTGATATGCAGTGATTAACAGAAACATGTAAGTTGCCCCTGAAAGAACAACAATAACATAGAAACAAGTATTTAAATCAGACTAGAATACAATTGAATGTTTATGATATATGGTGGAGTTCAGAGTGCTCACCATGCTTGTGTGCAATTTCTCCTCTCAGGATGCTTTATACTCCTCATAGTAACTTGAGCTAATTCCTATCTTTTAACGTATACCGAAAATAACATATTACAACATTACACTTGTGTAATGCATTTTGAGATTTGTCATGTTCCGAATCATCTAACTAGGTTTTAGGTCACATATCTCTCCTTGTGTCAGATCATTGGCTGTGGCTCAGTGGTTAGTGTGCTGGACTTCGAATCAGGGGATAGCAAGTTCGAGTCCCACTGCAGTCAGCATGTCGTTGTGTCCCTGAGACACTTCACCCCAAATTGCTCCTGTGGGGATTGTCCACAGTACTGAGTATGTAAGTCGCTTTGGATAAAAGCGTCTAACAAGTGACATGTAATGTAAAAATCATTCTCTCCCAAATATAGTCACATTTAAGGATTCATGGAAAGGACTCATCTTTAGAGTAAGAAACGTACTGCTTGCCCTGTGCAGGATACAATGAATTAGCCTTAACTGAAACTATTAACTTGTTTCACATCAGTTACATTGATATATACAGGGGTGTCTTCTGTTCCTTTTTTATAAAACCAACAATCTGTCTGTGGTTTTGCTGATACTGAGGAGTAACTTGTTCTTAGAGCAACACTGCAAAGACTTTTGACCCTTTCTATATGAAGTCACTATTGTGTCCGGAAGATTATGGCGGTTTTGTCTGCAAATATGTAGTTCAAAACCCAAAGGGCTTTTTAATCTGTTCAACAAATGTCACCCGAACCCGACAGTGAACATTGAGCCCAGCTGGAGTTTCAGTTTCACACGTTAAAATGCAGACATCAAAACACACACAGCTGAGAGGTTAACAGTCACAACAGTGTTATCTTTTGTTGGGATATTTGTAAGTTGATGGAAATGGTGAGAATACACAGATGGTGTACACAAAGGAACGCACTTGGTGAAAAGTATCAGACCATAGTCATTTTCAAAATATAATGCCTGTATTTAATATACAGTCTGCTATATCTGCAGCTTCCCCTATCGTGGTTTTGTCTTAATTTGATGAGAGGAGGGGAGCTGAACTTTTATTTTGATTTACATAGTATGATGACTGTATCACTATTATTAGCCTGTACTGGACTGTGTTTACTATATGTACACAACATGATACACTACTTTACAGGTGTTCATGGAATTGTTTCCCCTCTAATTTTTTAAAACAATGTCACAGTTTTCTCATGTGAACGACACGGTCTTGTTACTGTACCTCAGTGGTTCTCAAAAAAAAGTCGGGCCCCCCAAACACAAATAGTCACGTAATGGGCCAAGTTAACATTTCTTAAAATACATCAATATGAACGTGAGCATTCCTTTGCTAGAACAGTGATAACTAGAGAATGCAATTCCTGAAGAAATTGCTAGTGGGAATGCTTTATGCTGAAAAGCTGACGCTAAACTGCTATGCTGAAATGTAATGTGTAAGAAGAAAGTGAAGAATTCAGATTGAAATGATACATGAACACTGGGGGCTTGAATGTGTGATGAGTGAAGAAAAGAAAGTAAAAAGGCTTGGAAAAGCAGCAGAATATTTGAACTACAAACTTTTGAACTAACTTGATGATGAATGATCTGTCGCCATGGCAACGGCATTTGATGACACCCCATAATACACTTAGATGCGTTGATGGCTGCATCGTTACCAAACCTGTGAAGTTTTGGGCCGTTTGGAACATTTTCACTGAAGTTATGAGAAAACCGTGTTTCATGGCGAGCATTGTGTTGCCATGGCAACAGCATTTGAAGAAACCGCATAATTGACGTAGAGCTGTTGAGGGCTGGACCGGTGATATACAAGTGAAGATTGGGGGACGATTGGACCATGTCCATTGGACTTACAGCGACATCGTGTTTCATGGCGAGTGGTCTGTCGCCATGGCAACGGCATTTGATGACACCCCATAATACGCTTAGATGCGTTGATGGCTGCATCGTTACCAAACCTGTGAAGTTTTGGGCCATTTGAAACATTGTGTGTGTGAGAGAGAGAGAGTGTGAGAGTGTGTGAGAGTGAGAGTGAGTGTGAGAGTGTGGGTGTTCCTTGCTTGGTAGCACATTCTGCCGAGTACAGCTTGCTTGCAGAAGCGAGTCATGAATACTGCCTGAGCATTGCGGCAGAAGCAGAGTGAACAGGATACAGTGTGCAGGTGTGCGTCGGAATAGCAAGAGGCCCCGCCTTACATCTTCCGCCACAGATTTGGGGAAATTGGTCCGTGCGCAAAGCATTGTGGGGATTTTAAGACCGCCGAGTCTACATTGTTTGCATTGTTCTGAATGAGAGATAAAGCTCTTACATGTGAACGTTTTGTGGAAGAACCATAACAGATATCTGTGAAATTTCAAAACGTGAAGCATGTCAAGGAAGTTGAGTATCTGAAGTGTAATTTTTGTGTACTTTCGGGTTAATAATGTGGCCTTTTTGGCAGTTTAACTAAAGGTATGCGGCTGCTGCTGTGAGGAAATATCAGCCTGAAATTACAATGGGTTTTAATGGAGACATGTTGAACGTTTTTGTCACTTCATGCCCTCAAGAGGCATTTTGTTTAATTATTTTGCTTAATTATTTGTCATTTTTCAAGCTACGAGATGTTTTCCTACGTTTGTCATGAAAAATGATGTCTCAGGAATGTAGGGTTTGGGAATTATGGCAGTTTAAAAAAATATATATGAAGGCAAATTTCAAGATTTCCTACCCTCTAGCTGTAACATCACGCACTCTAGTTAATGTTAAAATCTGAAGAAAGCCTCTTTACCAAGGTCTGAACAATGTTTAATATCTCTAAAAGTAAAAATCAGATTTAAAAGTTGTGTTACACGAATAATGTCAGAAAGATGTGTAACATTTTAAAGTTGGAATGAGGTTTCTGAGTGAAAGTATGAATGAACAGTTCAGCAGTTGAAGTCGCATGAAGATTGTTCAAGTCTGAAGATTTTCTCCATTGACTTCAATGGTTAAAAATGTGATGAATTATGGGATGTATCTCTGGAATTATGAAAGTTATGAATGATAAAAGTAATAGCTATCGATTCCCGACCGAGCTGAACGTTTTGATGTTTGAACGGAGTTTCTGCGATGTTGAATGCAGGAGAAGAAGAGGTGCAAAGTTCCGGCGGAATAATAATAATTTTGTCCGTAGAAGAACATATAGTTGGAATGCTGTATCAGCATTCCCACTAAATAAAACAATGCTCCCCCAGGAAGATTTTTTTTTTAAATATTGAAGTCAAAAGCATCAATCTGGTGCACTTTGAGAGCAACATGAAGAGATCTATGGATACATCTCTCAACACCCATTTGAAACAGAACTGTAAGCAGATTTACTATTTCTTTATGGATATTTTACAAATCACTCACTTTTAAACTTTATTATTTTTTTACTGTCATATAGTATTTCAAACCTGTTTTTCATTTATTCTCTTATTTTTGTATAACTATAATGATCATATAAACGTGTGCCTCGGAAATAATTGTTTACATTAATCGTGACCAAAACGTTTGAGACCCGGCCACTAACTCGCTAGCACCAGAAGCTAACAACGATCTCCGGTACCGGTGCCCTCTCTCTCTCTCTCGCTCGTGCACGCACACAAAATGGCTCGTGCCACACACACACAGAGCCGAGCTGAAACACAGAGACCCAGACGTACTTGTACTGTATCATATTATTTTCGAATCAATACTTTTTCAAATTATGATTTTTTATTTTTCAAAACCATTTTTCCTCCTGGTCTCTCGCGCCCCCCCTGTCATGCCTCTGCGCCCCCCACTTTGAGAAACACTGCTGTACCTGAACTTTAGGCAGCACAGAGAGGAAGGAGGCCACCAGGCAGAACAACATGTTGAAGCTGATGAAGAACTTGTTGATGGAGCATCCATCAGGCTTTGTGTAGAAGATGAAGAACAGCACCACAGCAGTAAAGGACCTGATGTAGTTGATGAGAGTGACCACCAGCAACGCTAAAAACACAAGGTAGAAAAGGTTCATATTTGATAGCAGACCACTGCTAAGGATTAAGGAATCTTTGCAGTCATATCAACCAGCAAAAAGAAGTCCGGTCAATTTAACGTCAGCTAAAAAATACAAATTAGCTTTCCTCCAACAGAAAACACCATGGAATACCTTTTGAACATTTATTTTAATTGTGGATAGCACAAATGAATAGAAAATAAAAGAGAATAAGATCAAGAAAAACAGTGTAAGAGAAGAAAAGAGGTTGAAGAGAGACAGGAAGTAAACACTAAAGGGAACAGCAGAAGAAGAGAGACGATGGCTGCAGTCGAATTGTCCAAAAATCAGCTCCTATCGTCTATTCCTATCGTCTATCCCTTGACCTCTGTGTGAAACGTCACAGGGTTAAGGGATAGTGGATAGGAGAATTTAAAAGGACTTAGGAGAAGAGACTGCGGTGCTTTGAGAATCCGACTGCACTTTCACTATCCGACGTGTTTATGATGCGCCAGCGGACGTCATCAATGTGCGTCTGCTGCTGTGGGGAAACTACAGTTTTCTATACAGCGGACTACAACATGGATGTATAATAAGAACGATGGACTACTGTAAACTCATCTAGAGACTCTGCACCGTGCTCTGATGCTGTTGTTTTATGCTTTATGAACGTGGACAACAGAGAAACATATTCTTCATGACCAGTTGGAATTGAAATAAAAAAGGAAAGTGAAACTTATGCTTGTCACCCTCTCCCTCCGGTCCACTCGTATTAATCCACATGAATCCCAATACGTATGATTGTATGAAATGATCTTCAAATCAATACAAATGTATTTATTATAGGGCTGTCAAGTTAACGCGTTAATAACGCGTTAACCCACATTTTTTTTAACGCCACTAATTATTTTAACGTGCGATTAACGCATGTGTATTTGTCCTCGGCCCGCCCCGTAGTTTCAGAGCCCAAAGGCTTGACGTTGTTGTTGTTGTTAGTTGGATGGTGGGAGATTCTAGCGAGAGATATGGATACAAAAAAAGGTGTTTTAAACAGCAAGCCAAGCACACAGCTGATGCTGATGCCGACAGCCCCGCTCCTGCCGCTCGCTTGCGCTTCTAAGTTTGCCGGGGAGACGCCTGGACAACAACAGCGATAGCTAAATGGGTGGCTACAGCTTAACATTGTGGAGGACGAGGGGCTGCGTTAGATCATTCGGATCGCATCCAACGTGTCGACTGCACATCACAGCGCATTATTGTGACCCACAGTGGGAACTTCAGTCTCATGCTTTGACTGTTATGAAGACAGAGGAGCGGCATTTCGCCGACAACTGTAAACAGGCTTGTCTGTTTGAGCAACTGGCTCAGTGCAAAGAAGTACACAGGGTTGGGAGAGAGTGTAAGAGAGAGAGAGAGGTTCCAGGTGGTTGTGTTGAGAATATTCAGGAGAATATTTGTCATTGTTCCAATGATAATAAACAAACATTTGCATAATGCATATTTGTCCACTCATATGTTGAAGAGTATTAAAAACTTGAAAAATACAGATACAAAATGTGCGATTAATCGCGATTAACTATGGACATCATGCGATTAATCGCGATTAAATATTTTAATCGACTGACAGCCCTAATCTATTGTAAACGTTTGTCCTTAACATCTATCACTGTGTATATCACCATTAAAGATGTTTTTAAAAGTTTCAGAAACCCCACACAGCTCAGTAAAGACTGTGAAATGTTGACTTATTTGATCATTTTAGTAAAAAAGTAACGTTCATATTTCTCCTTTTGATTAATATAGTGATGAACGTTCAAAACAAAGCACTTTTGCAAGTTACGGTATAAGTTGTAAAATGCTTAATAAGTACCGTAACTTTCATGATACGCATTTCTCGTCGTAATTGGTTGTTTCTGGGAACGGCCGAATGTTGTGTCACGGTAAATGTTGCGACAGACTTGGACAGTCACAGAAGAAAATGCAGTAGAACAGACTATTTCTTTCTTAGCGAAAGTAATATAATATTTTTTAAATCAATGAAATCCTGCTTAAATCAATATATTGTGTCAAATATTGATTTAAACAGTAAGTTGTCATGTAATAAGCGGGTTCACACATTATCCCATAGTCTGCATGTTATTACTTACAAATGTATCTTATTGTTGAATTCCAAAGTATTAACAAAACACACGCTCAAACATACTTGCAAGTAGTATGCAGTGTATCATTTTGTACACACTGTTGAGTCACTGACCTGCGTACCAGCACCTGGAACTGCCGGTCTCCATCTTCTCCACCCATGACTCGTTCCATGAGTGGGCGAAGTCCACCAGCAGCACCAGCTGGATCAGGATGAAGCAAAAAGCCCCCCCAGAGCCCACCACAAACCACGCTGCAACCATAGACACACAGCTCATTCAGTAACTCCCTTGGTATTACAACAACTCTGTATATTGGAAGTCATACTAAATGTAGAATAGGAAGTTCTTACTGTAGGTGAAAGGCCCATCTGGAATATAAAAGGCGCCAACTGTAACTGCCACCAGGGCAGCAAACTTAAAGAACCAGAATCTGAGAAAAACAACAGCTGATCATAGAGTAGGATGTACATACACATACATTTAGAGTTTGAAAGCATTTCTAAACAGTGATCCTTAAGGTCAAAGCTAATTTCCCCAGAGTTTCTTCTGATTCAAACACTAACACACTGCAAGGTTTAATGTGGGACAAACAATCAGATCTGCTCAGATGTCATAACTGTTCACATGACTGTTTATTAGACAAGCGTATCCCATACAGGGACAAGAACAGGCGACATCCACAAGAAAGACCTTTCAGCCTTATGACCAGCTGCAACGTCTGTGTGTGTGTGTGTGTGTGTGTGTGTGTGTGTGTGTGTGTGTGTGTGTGTGTGTGTGTGTGTGTGTGTGTGTGGTTGTGTGTGTGTGTGTGTGTGTGTGAATATGGAAACTCCTGGAGACACGCCTCTGTCTCTCTTTATCTCTCTGTCTATCTATTTCTATCTTGTTGTGATACAAATATTCAATTGTCCTTTTGAGACGCCTAGAATAAGGCAATCCTTTGAAGAATCTATGTAAAAATAGCGATAAACACAATTCATAAAAAAAATAAAAATAATTAAGGACGTTTTAAATAAGCAACTCACAGTTTCAAGGTATTGAAATGAAGTTCTTAATAAGGTGGGACATGGGAAAACAAACAAAAATTAAGTGCAGATAATTAAATAAGAACTTGGCAGTGTTGTTTGTTTGTGTTTGCAAAAAAAGCTCAAGGAAATACCTGGAAGCTTTTTGGGTTAGGGTTATCTTTTTCATATATGCCCACATTATCCTTTTTGTTACAGGAATTGTCTGTGTTGCAATTTTGTTACATGGTTTATCTTGTAACATCTCCAGTGAGAATATGGAGGTTGAGTTGTTTTTTTTAAAGCGTGCTCAGGTACATGAAGGGGAGTCAGAAACAGTGTTTGTGATAGATTGCATGAGCTGCTGCTGTTACTGCGGGGCTTACCCGTTGTGGATGGCAGCACGGGGGTCTCTGCTGTTCTTGATGTTAATCATCAGGATGGAAAACCCCAGGAACCACATGCTCATGCCGAAGCAGATGCGGTACACTGCCTTGTAGCCCACGAACATCTCACAGTTGACATCGGCCTGCATGCCAGGGATAGAGGAGCCGGCCCCGTCTTCACAGAAGCCAGGGATCTACAGCACACACAGGAAGGGTTCAAAAGAGCAGGAGCTGAAGTCCATTTCATGTTCGGAAACACCGGGCCAGTTACCGAGTAACCCTAACCCTAAGTATACGATTTAAAAGAACGTCTGTGCCTTGTGATCTTGTTCAGTGACACTTTTAGTAGCCAACTCATCGGTTTTTGTTACGTTTAAACCGTAGGACTTTTAAGAGTTATTATTGATAGTTTTGGCGCGATTTAGACACGGTCTGCACAATGTTGTTGGTGAAAATAACTGCCAGAGAACAAATCAGATGCTTCGCTGTCCATTCTTACACATCTGCCACATCATCTATCTACAACAGAGAGTCAGCTCTTAAGTAATAACAAGTAGGCAGCTCCAGCTGAATTAAACCTTTGTATCCAGCGTCATGAGATGATTAAACATCTGTGTAATGTCAGTGAACTTCATCACACAAAGACAATCATCGCACGTTATGATTGTAATTGAAACCTCTGGAACAAGGACTCGGAACAGAATGAGAACACAGGAGAGCTGGAACTGTTCTGTTCGACACAGCAATAGAGCATTACCGTGAATAAACGTGTTATATATCTATACATTGACTGTATCTCCACAGTTAACTCATACCCTTTTCAGCTGCTGATCGACCCCCGGGGACAGCATGATGCAGGCCACGATGGTCCCCAGCAGCAGGATGAAGGCGTAGATGATCCGGGTCACCGTGGAGTTCCTGGTGCTGGGACAGCAGCTGCACAGCAGACAGGTGGCGCTGCTGCACAGGCACGGCAGCTGGGGACACACACAATCACTTCATCATCTGCATGTTAAAGCAGGAGCACCAAACACAGGAGACACATTTAGGTGAAAACAAATCTGCAGAAACATATAAATGCAGATGCTTTCACTCCCTTTTTACTCCAAGCGCTTTCATTACTCACACCTCAGTCAATCAATCAATCAATGTTTATTTATATAGCCCAATATCACAAATGTTACATTTGCCTCAGTGGACTTCACAGTTTGTACAGAATATCAGTATGACAATACGACACCCTCTGTCCTTAGACCCTCACATCGTACAAGGAAACACTTCCAGAGAAACCCCACAGCTTAAAGGGGAACATGGGAGAAACCTCAGGGAGAGCAACAGAGGAGGGATCCCTCTCCCAGGACGGACACACGTGCAATAGATGCCGTGTGTAAATCGAAGAGATAATACATTTCACAGTATAGGTAGACCAAATGTTTGGAAATGTATGTGTCTATAATAAGAAGATGAATCCACGAGGATGTCAACAATCCTGTGGGAGCCATCAGGGAAGTAGTATGATGAGAGTCAGGCAGGACCGCAGAGACAGGTTCAGCCATGACTCAGGATCCAGGGCTCGCGATCCAGGACTCAGGATGCAGGACTCAGGATGTAGGACTCAGGATCCAGGACTCAGGATACAGGATCCAGGACTCAGGACCACAGCAACAGGCACAGCCACGACTCAGGATCCAGGGCTCGCGATCCAGGACTCAGGACCGCAGCAACAGGATCAGCCACGACTCAGGATCCCGGCGTAGATAGACACCAAAAAGAAATTTAGGGGAAGCTGGGTTATTCGGAACATGAGAGTAAGGTACAGACAGAGAGAAGGAAGAAGTAAGGTTTCCCCGACAGTCTCTAAGCCATTACCTCTCTCACTGAATTCACATGAACTGGTACTAAGTCTTTACAGGCCTTCTACTTTAACTGATACTTCAAGCTCTGTCTATCACCTAAACACAACTGGTGTCATCTCCTTTTCTAAAATGCTAATAGCCGCGTTCACACCGCAGTACTTTTCCCACTTTAGTTCCGATATAGTTCCGAAATGTCGCGTTCACACCAAAAAGAGCCGGAACTAAAATTAGTTAATCAGAACCTTTTTTACCCCCTTTTCAGTCCCTGTCAGAGAGCAGGTACTTTGGTGGGAGAAAAAGGTTGCTATGTCTGATTGGCTGGGCGGAATGCAAACCACGGCCCGTAAAACTCCCAAAAAGTTTTGTGAAGCCGCCATTTTATTATCCTTGTGTAACACATGCACCAAATTTGAATGCTGAGCACAGAATTATTTATACGAATCAGTTTCGATCAAACCTCTCTAATATAAATGTAGAAATTTCAGTGTGTGGACCAGCACATCAGAAGTCTAGGTTGCTCAGGAGAAAATGGATACTGTGCAACAAAGGTGAAAAGACACAAAGCAGACGTTGTTTGGAAAAGGTACAGAAAGCTATAATATTTATTCCCTTTCTTTCAGATAAACATTTTAAAGACATATATATATTCAGTTACCTTGAATTTGAGAGTATCCTGGTTTTAATTATTTGTACCTATTTATTTTATAACTATTTTGGTATCATTTAGTGTTGTTACTTCTGTTTTAATTATCCCTATTTAATATAAACTAATGGTTTTATTTAAATTTAGTAGCTAAGCTATATATTCTAATTTTGGGAACCAGGACTCTGTATTTGAAATGTTATTTCAGATTCTTAAATAAAATGAAAGAAAACTTATCACATTACTTCTATACACATATAGTTATAACATATTCAACATAGTATCACACAATCAATAATCAAATCAGTTCTTGGCTCTCAACTTGTGAAGAGGAAAAGATACACAAGTTCTTGTCCTACTATCGTGGTGGGTAACTGTAATAGTTCTCTTCTTTTAGATAGGTCGATGGGTAGCTCGCCAGACTGAAATTCGCCACAGTACACCAGCAGAGATGAGGGCAGCGTTCCAGTCAAAGAATCCAGAAAATCTCCTTCACATCACACAAAAAAAAGACCCGACCTGACAACAAGGCCAAGAGTCAAATGAATGCTTATACAATGGTTTAAATGCAAATTGAAACAGCACTTCTCTGTATATTAATCAAATCAACAAAATACACTGCACATGTTCCTAAAATCCTATTAAACAAACAATTCTAAATACAACAATTATCAGTCAGCTTATTTAACACATCTGTCACACATGTTATTATTTTAACAAAGTGTACTAAACTCATTTTCGGCCAACCTATAACCAGCCACAGTTAGCTCAACTTTGCTCATATTCCACAACAATTAACAGACTAAGCTGTGGTCAATGCCCCTTCAATGTGCCACAACTGGCGGCAAAGCAACGTGAAGACCACCGCCAAAACCACAGACAATAGAGCGGTGCAGTGACTTCACATCCCTCCGCCCCGCACACATTAAAGCAACACGGATACACGCTAGGCTAACGCGTTAGCAACGGTTAGCCGCGGCTAATTTAGCATCGATAATTTCATTAAAATACATATTTAACATCCGTATTTTCTCATGCAACTCACCAAGGGTATCATATAAGAGGCAATGCTCTTGGGGGAAAGTAGAAAAGTCGGTCAATCTAAGTGAAAAGTTGTTAAAATAACTACAATTAAAATCTATAGAGCTAATGCTGCTGAGTCATTATCCCAAAAGGATAAACAGCCATCTCACTTCCTGTTAGACAGCAGACACGGGGCGGGTCTAAACTTTGATTGGCTTAGCCTTGCTTTACAACCACTTTAGATGGACAGGGGATTTATCTAATCACACTCATTTAAATGTTTTCATGATGAATTGTCTAAATCAGCGGTTTTCAAAGTGTGAGGCGCGCCTCCCCTGGGGGGCGCCAGAGAGCTTCAGGGGAGGCGCAGCGTGAGAAAAAAAATAACGAGAAAAGATGAGAAAAGTGACACTTGCCCACTTTTGGCTGTCTGTGGAGACCGAGTTCCCCCACTTCGCCAAAAAGGCTGTAAAAGTGCTCATTCCCTTCATCTCCACCTACCTGTGTGAGTGCGGGTTTTCCGCATGGACTTTGATCAAAATCAAGTGCAGAGTATGATCTGCGTTTATTCCTGTGTGCATCAAAGACGCAGACTCATTGTTCCCACTAAAGTAGGGATGAGTGTAATAAGGAGGCAAAATTGACGTTCAGTGTGTTGCCGGGAACATATAAGGATTTATCCACGATGTTGAAAATGTTAAAAATGTTTTAAAAATATGTGTTGAGAACACGGCGTGCGAAAATATACGGGTCGTGCTGCAGCTAGATTTGCCTGTCCTCTGTAAGAAGGTGTCGGCGACTGACATGCAAGGAAGAACGGCTGTCCACAGGCTGTTCCAACTTTAACAACTTTATTAACTTCCAGGGTAGTGAATTGAACATGCTATTGTAATTGGGTGTGTGGTATATTTTCATGCACGGACACGCATGTTCCACAACACACAAACTGAACAACACTCAATTGTCCGATCGCTACCACTGTCCTTGCGATCTTGTTATAACGATAACAACAAAGTGCACGTTATTACTGATGCAATATGGTTGAGACCATTTGGGCTTATTCTAGAGGGGTGCAAGGAATAGTCCAAGTAGTGGGGGAGTTGTATACAATATGTTTAAAACATAAAGATAAAAAGGTTTAAAAAAGTTATTGTTTAATGTTTTAAGGAGGTGACGCTACTCAGCCAATCAAATCGGTGCAGTCAGTGAGCCAGCACGATAGATTCAAACACACACACAGAGACGAGACAAGAGGAGAGAAACAGTCTTCATTTTATCTTACTGGACCTCTTTGAAATGCAATTGAATACCCCTGCATTATAGCAACAACAACAATGATAATAATAATAATAATAGCAATAATAATTGGGAGGGGGGGGGCGCGGCTGTTCTTATGTTCTCTGAGGGGAGGCTCACCTTCCCACACTTTGAAAACCCCTGGTCTAAATCATGTTGTCCTAAATTGCATATTGTGTATCTATATTGTTTCTATTTTAGTTTCAAATAATTTATATTATTTGTGTATGTAGTGCTAAGCATTAAAATAAAGTTGACATTTTAGTCAATGTTATTTCTCAGTGTCTTAGTAACCGGGGGTTACACTTGCATTAGCATTATTAGCATTAGCATTAGCCAGCGCACAAACGCAGAGAGACTAACTTATGGCAACACAAAAGAAAACATGGGAGCGGTGGAGTTCTGGCGATTTACTCGGAAGGCCCTAACTCCGGGGACTTCCGGCCGGGGACTTTGGGTGGCAGTTTACACCGTGAAGTTGTTTGCGGCCTGCCAGTAAACCCAAAGCAGAAGAAGAAGAAGTGACGTCAGCGGCTTCATTTGCCTAATCCTTCCCCAGGGACTTATTCCGGTGTGAACGCGATCTGAATTTAGTTCATGAGAACTAAAGAGTTCTCATGAACTAAGTTCTGATGAACCTTTGTGGGAAAAGTACTGCGGTGTGAATGCGCCTATTGCTATTAATACTAACAATGTAGCGTTTTCTAGTTGTGAAACACAGTTTTGGTGGCGTCCATTCTTGGCAATGTAAAATATTTTACAAAAAAAAACTGTCATTGTCCTGGAAAAAATGTGAGTAGATTCAGAGCATGACAAACGTTCCCATGTATTTCTCTTTATTAGCAGGAAGCTGAGGATAATGGATATGTTCTGCTTGTTAGGATGGTGCATGGGACTCAACATGAGACACTGCTGAACTATCATGTGAAGGTCATCTGCACGGCAGTCCCCTCTGAATACCCTGGACTAACGGCTTCAATTATCTGCTATTTAGCCTTTTCCCTTTTCAACCATTGAACATGTTCTACCAACAGGACATGTTTAGTTTGCAGAGCTTCTTTAATCTTGGATTACAACGTAGTTTTAGCAGAATATTAAGAAGCTAACAGGGCACAGAAAAGATAATCTGTATTT